ATTTCGACAAAAGTATGAAACAGGAAGCGCGCACTAATTGATTTGACCAATCAACGCGGTGCCTGAGGTGGCCGTCAGATGAGATGACAGTATGGAGTGTAGAAGAGACAAGAAGAACCATCTCATATGGGGAAAAGTTGAAGTGTCCAGCTGTATACTGAAAATAGGTCGCTAGCGTACGAAAAACTACGATATAAACATTGTAGAGAGTGAAATGTGCTGAGTTAAAATATTATAATACTTTTATTCTCTGAAAGTTATTACACGTTTATTTATTATCTCTCTCTCTCTTATACGAATGGTCACCTGCCCTATTCAAATTTTACCTCAACGCTTTTCAATTAACTCTCCCCGATCAAAGCAACCTAGTAAGGATGGGAAAAGCTACATCTAAAAGGCTTGTACGGTGTGCAGTGCGGCAATAAATACAGCCAAGCACTTACTGACAGGTAGTGAGGCGCTGTTAACTAGGAACGCTAAGAAATATATATAATTAATAAGGAACGCTAAAAAATAGGTTTTATTGGATTTTTTCGCAGTCTGGTACACAGTGTTTAATTTCACTGGTCAACACTAGTCATGCCACACGAACTCTTATGGCTAATATTGTTTTTGCCACCTACCCTCATTAGTGAACAGAAATAGTTTTATTTTGATTGGCCTTGGATTTCTTGTGCAGTGTTGATTCGTATAACCAGTACTACTTTGATAAACGCAAGCAAACGGTCGCGAATAAACAGTCGTTAAATAAATTGTTTTCGTATTGGTTAAAATTTAGTTATTTATATTATTATTTCCGACTGCTATTTTTTTTATAGTTTTACTGCATTACGGAAAAGTATTTCCTTCTGTACCTCTAGCCCATGCTGCTAATATGAAAGAATCCTATGAAAACATGAAGTTATTACTGGAAAAAATCAAATATAGTTAATAGTATATTCTTAAGTATAGTATATTCTTAAGTTGTTGCCCTATTACTCGAACTTCCGCTGGGTTTTAAATTCTGCTATTTTCTTTGTGACCATTTACAATAGTCGGGACAAAAGAAATCATTATCATACAAAAGTATGGCCTACGCGGACATCTTTAAGCCCTGGAAAGAAAAATATATATTAAGTATTTACCTATTGTACCAGTATTTGAAGAAAAATTGAACGATCTAAAAAAACGAGCATGGATATATTCTAAAAATGTTGCAAAATTGTCTATTTAATCATAACAGAAAGAAGTACATAGAGTTTGTTAGCGAGTTGTTGTTGGCTCATCAAGCATTGGGTTGCAACATGTCACTCAAGATTCATTTCTAAGACTCACATCTGGATTTTTTCCCTGAGAATGTGGGAGCTGTGAGTGATGAGCACGGGGAGAGATTCCATCAGGCAATTTCATAAATGGAAAAGCGCTATCAGGGCAAATGGAACCTAAGGATGTTTTCCGATTACTGTTGGACGTTGAAAAGGGACCATCCAAGAGCTAAATTTGTCAGAAAATCCTAAATCGTTGTTTCGGATTCGGAATATTTCAACAAATAATGACCTTATTTGTTGGAAATATTTAAGTTACATCAATCACAAAAAAAATTTGGCCAATACTTTTTTTTGGTTACTTATTTTTACTAACAATCAGATCGTGTAGCACAAAAAAAAACAAATTTTGTTCCCCAGTGTATTATTTAAGCCAATATAAGTTTATACTAGGCTACCACAGCGCCTAGTGAGTACCTGCGTCACCTATCGACTGACGCAGGTACTCACTGGGCATGGTTGCTTCGGTGAGTACCTGAATCGTACCTAACGCGAGGAGACGGCACAATGCCAGCACTGCGCAGCCGACTGGGACTCCGCCCAGCACACGCTGGAGGACTGCCCCGCGTGGGCGCGTGGTGGAGGAGGGATGGGGCGCAGTGGTTTTATCCCTGGGATTGGGCCTGATTACGCATGGCACCAATTCGGGGAGGACCTGAAATAACATGGTCCAGGTCCTCCCAGAGTAGGGCCCCTGAGACCGGCCGTCGGGGTGATTTTAGTGGAATCACCACCTGAGTCCCCGAGGAGCAAGAGATCCGAAGGGATTTTCCACACCGTCAAAAAAAAAGGCTACCACAGCGAAACCCGTACAGGACGTGTTTTTACGGACACCTTTCATACACAGAGATGGTTCTCCTATCTAAATGTCAGAGGTAGGTTAGTTACACATCATTATGCAACTACTGTAAGATTTGCTCGTTTTATTTCTTGTAATATGTAATCGTTTTCATATGAAAAAAATTCTTCACATAATTACATTACACACTAATCATTAATTAATTTCTCAAATAAAAAACGCAGACTTTAGTGAACGCTAACTTAGAGGAATAAGATTACGTATTAGTCATCGAGATGGATAAAATGATGCAGAAGCTCTCGTTGATAAGAAGTACTTCAAAATTCACAGTACAGACACACGCACTAGCAAGTGGAATAAGAATATTTGGTGCAAGATTTTGCAATTCACAAGGGTATAAAGTACGAATATATGAGCATTAAGAATCAAAAGGTTGTTCATGATAATATGTTTTACAATATATTTTTTATGTTACTACATACAGCTAGATACCTCCTACATAGCAGTTTTAGTTTAATCATAGCTTTAGATTATAGTCTAGTAAGTATAAGTTTATACATTATACTATGAGATATAGAATTTAGGCCTGTTAGAAAATTATAATACCATATTATATATTTCAAAGAAGGGTTGAATTTATTCAACAAAATTAACATTATTTAAGCCAAGAAATCCACATAATATATGAAGTACATAAAAATAAGATCACCAATTCAATCACTTCAATTTATTTAGAATCACACTACCTGCAAATCAGATAAACTTCTGTTTAATTTAAAAAATAAATCAACCAGTATATTTTACATACGAAAAAGAAAAAGTTAAATTTCTTAAAAAGAATTCGTCACTTGTAACATTAATGTGTTTATTCATCAATATAATGACTTTATAAGTCATAAAAAGGTTATAACGATTTTTAAATCAGGAATGCGCCAATTTGATTCATCATGGAGTGAGCCAAGTCACTGTAATATAATCACTGGTTCCAAATTAAACAACCCGCGAAATACAGCAAAGATTTAAAAGTTATACATATTAATAGCTTATATGGCTTATCTCTTTATAGTAAAGGAATTGTTCACAAAAGCAATCTGTAAGCTAGACCAACATTGAGCACATAGGCAGCAACACTGTTACTTTCGGGTTCAACTTTTAGATATCGAATACCTTAAAGTATACAATCGATATGTGAAGTAAGATATTTTAATCGGATACTACTGATGAGGGCTGATCTCGACAGTTTTGATTTGATGAACCAAGAATGTTTACTAAAAATATTAAGCTGTTTTGAGTTGTTTCTTTGAATGTTTTAATTCAAATTCAGTCCGATTTGTAAAATTCTTTTTATAAGATAGGAAGCTCATTGTTATATAAATGGCCTATTGCGGGCTAAATGACATCAAGCCAACGCTTATAGCGACTGGTCTCCGTCATCGATTCGTGGTCAGTGTGGGTCCGGCTTAACAACAAAACAGCTAACTAATATAATGGGTATTCATACTAAAACTACTACATCTAATGGTCCATTCGGATAAACAAATGCGAATTATAATTCCACTAAAAATAATGGAAAAATTATAAAGAAAAATTCTAAGCATACATTATCACATTTGACAAAGCTAATCACTCGCATTGAATCGAACAGTGATAGGACTGCTGGTTTACTCACAGCACACTATTAACACTATCTTATAATGAAGCATGAAGAGACTTTAACGATTAAAATTGAGTGGATATGATGTAGGTAGAGGAGTCTGTTTTTGAATTTTGATAAATAGTCCGTCTTTTTATGTGTTCAAATATCGCTGATTAATTGAGTGAGCCTATTTGTATAATCTTATATTATCTAGTGCCAAGTATGTCTCAACAAGGTAATAATGGTCAATGTTATTCAAAAGTGCTAAAAAGTAGCTACACTGGACTATTTATTCTCGAGTTTGAGGTAGCTTTTTAAGACTGCTAACACAGGCTTTTGTTCTTCTAAAAGAAGCTAGACTAGTTCAACTAGCCAGCGTTATGAAAACGTATAATGGAACGTCTGTGAGTCTAAACGCCTACAAAGAGTCCTGTACCGTTACTATTAGGGACAGCTATAATATATTTATCAAAACATTTTAAGCTTTGATCGATATGATATCAAAAGTCGAACGGTTTTCACTGACGTCATTTAAATTTATTTTTTGTAATGTGTTTTTTTTAATTTATCGACAATTTTATTACAAGAAATGTAAGCATGGCATAGCGGTTTTATTTATTTCCAGACAATGGAAAACATGATTGAAACTATTGATATTTTAAGATAGTAAGTACTTGGTAAAAATTAAAAAAAAAATACCGAAATGAAGTGGAAAACCTGCATGCTATCTCAACCGTAAATTACTGTTCATGAAATACTACTCTCATTTAAATTTTATTCAGATTTGTTTACAATAACAACGAAGTATTGTAATATCTCATTTTTATTGAACATTAGATGGTACAGAATCTTGAAGCGGATTACAGCCTTAGCTTATTTTTATATGAATTTTATTCACTAAAATTAGATATTTACTAGAAGTATTTAATAGTCAAATAGTAAGCAGTGACGACGTAAAATTGTGATGTAGGTATTTTTAAGACTGCAGACGATGACCGCTGTAACCATTAGTATCAAGTATTTACTTTAAACACTGATACATTTTTTTTAAATAAAATAAAATTACAAAAGGTAACACGAATCGTACGTAGCTTAAAAACAGGCGCGAACCACATTATAAGTATACTCAAATCAACCCAGTCCACTCACTCTCTGTGTAAATATCTCAGTCCGCAGCCTCGCACTGTACAAACTAAAAAAAAAAGCTGGCAGTAGACAACGCTCAGCGTATGACGAGTTTGCTATCAAGCATCGTCTCGACTCAAGAACACGTAGTAACATTGAGCTTCGCGAAATAATCTAATAAGCCTTGGAGGCGTTTCTTGACGCGCTTCTGGTCGTCGAGTGTGCAGCCTAAGATGGCGAGCTCGAAGTTCTTGTCGGTGCCTGTGGCGGGCTCCGGCTGGGAGGAGCATGCGTTCATGAAGGTTTGACACCTCGTGTGCGCGACTACGGCGTCGTCGTGAACTGCCATTACTAGCTGGTCTATGTACATATTAACCTGTAATCAAAAAAAAATTGTATGCAGTAATTGTGAGAAAAATGTACAAAAGAGTAATATTGTTACATTGTTATACAAAGAAAAATGTAATGTGCCAACGGTATTTCTAATAAAATTAAATAAGTATTTATGTGTATATTTTAAAAAGTGTATTTATACGTAGACATTTTCAATGAAAAAATGTTTCACGTCACGCTTCTAATTTTCATACACTCACAGTATATGTAAATCTATCAACATTTACTAAATGACCCAGTTCTAAAGGAATGAACTGATTTAGCTAAGAGATTATGTGTAGTCTGATAATGTTCTATATAATTTAGGGTGGTCGCCCAGGATGTCTTTTTGCAAGCGATGCAATACCTCTTATGACGACTTTGATATAATCCCGATGTTATCGCTTGCTGCGCACGCTTGCCTACTTCCAAGAATCTGTACTGCCACACTTACGATTTAGTCATGATTAGTAGTAATACAGGCGTGTGTAAACACGCAGCTATCTTAGGACCTTGTATAATGAACTAAAAGTAGTTATATTAAAACTAGATGCAGATGTACATTAATAGAACGCGCTACTGAAAACACTCCAAAAAGTCGCCATTGCGGACCATTACTCATTACATTACTCTATAGCAATATTTAAAAAAGGTTGGCAAGTGGCACTAATATCTTGAGCGACTGAGTACGATCGTAGGTACCTAAGTAAATGAATAAAGAGATAAAAGCATACGGTTACAGTTCTCAATTACCTAACGGCAACTTATAATGTGTTTTGCTCGTAATTATATGTAGATGTAAGACTTGCGATCCGTTACAAACGACAGTTCATCACTCTCCCTTCTAACTGTTTTTTCGTATTTGACAGTTTCATTTTTACACTGACGTTAAATTAATTGAATAATGAAAAATGAATACTGACATTAAATTAATTGAATAATGAATAATGAAAAAACATTGAATTAAGCTCACGGAAACAAACTAATCAATCATAGACGTAAGGGTTTTAAAAACAATAAGTACATTTCCCTCAGTTTAATACAATTCTTCATAATGTTTTAGTCGTAATTCTTCATAAACATTTAGCATTTAATATAAGAAATCGGATGGGAATTCCAAAAATGGGTATGAAAGCAGATCTGAATAAAACAAAAGAGTAGTAAGATGCCACGATTCTGTTCAAGTTCTCAAGAAATATGGGCCCCGCAATGCCAAAAAATAGCGAGTGAATACACCAATGAGCACTTACATAGTCATTGTACTCGAAACAATTAAATCATTTTATATTTAAATATTTGGAGCTCATTTTTACATGTATGTAAATGACTTGGAAAAAACAATTTTTGGAATTAATCATTGTGTTCTATTACGGTATGTTTTTTTTTAAGATAATCTCTGTCAACAACTTCTTATCAGTTTTTTTTTCTGTTCTACAAATATGCAAAAAGCAAGCTGGCCTAACAGTACGTCATCAAGTCAGTAAAAAAAGAAAGGAAGTTAATTTCCTTCCTTCCTGTATATTTTACATACCTATTACAATTGGCAACGGTTTTTGTAAAGTACAATTCTATCAAGAATAAGTTCTTTCATGATAGCTTTTTTTTAACAAATTCTGATTTTTGCTTTAGTTCATCACTGGGTGTAAAACATTGGTATACTGTTCTATTTCGATTATTACTATTTATAAGGAGAATAACTTCTTTTAAATTTAGTTAATTGCAATAATTTATCGATATTGATTTTATCGAATTATCGATAAAATACTTAATCTTATTTATTTCTTTGTATACTTGTATTGTATGTATGTACTTACATATTTTGTTTATATCTACTTTAATATATTTTTTGTCTGTTGTAAACAGTTACAAGTTCATTAGTTCTCGACAGTAGTCGTAAATCCCGAGGCTCTATGTTTATGCGCAATCCTACACTATTCAGAAAAAGTAACATTAGGTGATGGAGCTCTTAACAACGACGCCCACGGAACGCCGACAGAAGATAAAATGTTGGCGGTCAGCAACGATAGTATCACTACTGTTTCTGACCGCCATAACATAACATAATGAAAAAAAAACAATTTATACATGCCAAGGCACACACAAGGCACATTAGATTGATTGATTTGATTGATCTGAAGGTCATTGTAAATTTTCAAATAGCTTCTTTCATTTAAAATTCTATACATGCTACAGTACTTCTACTTGTGCATATTTTAACTTTGTCCATTTTTATACATTCTTATAATTCAAACTGTTGTAAACTAATATTAGAATTTCAGACGAGCTGATTTACTCGGCGTTCTTGTAGGGATCTACTTCTGAGATGATTAAAACCCGGGTTCTGAAAGGCGAGATACCAGGGATTTCCTTTCTAGGGTACACCTGGTTCCCCGGCAACTGGTACCCGAGACGGCGTGCGGTTTTTGGTCTGTTCGAGTCTAACATAACCATCCGACCGGTGGGTGGCATCCGAGGGGATTTCCGTACACAAAAAAAAATCTGTAAGGCTTATCAAAATATTGTTCTACTCACAAAGCTGTCAAGTAGATAGTGATATTTACTATAATTTTCGTTCATTGCACTGATCTGATAATATCAAACCAAAGTGCCTTATTTAGCTAATATGCATTTGACAAGAGATTTGACACACGACATGTTAATTTGTGCATTGTACAGCCTTCAGAAATGGGGCGGAGATAATTTAAAGATTCTGTCATTGCTCTTTGAGGGTTAACAAGTTTAAGAAAAAAATAGAAAACTTTTTGATAATCAAATTCTAATTTTTATGAATGACATTTAAAAAGTTATAGTTCCCGATTCAATGTCATATATCTGGTGGCCCCGCAAAATATTGTCATCTCTAACCGCACACGCAACCCTTAATTCCTGCTAGATCCTGGTTCTTCAAACAAAAACATGTTAATAAGTCAGCCACCTCTACTATAATTCGTTTACGATTAGGATTTGTCAGTACCCCAGTTTTTCTTGCCAAAATTCGAGTTCGTGATCAGTCTCTATGTGAGTGTGGTCTCGATGAAGGCACTCTGGAACATATTTTCTTTTCTTGTCCTAAATTGGTCGTACCTCTGTATGATCTACTCCCTCAACAAATATCCCGACCCGTTAATTTGGCTTATCTCTTAACTCTAGTATATACCCCATTTGTCAGGATCCTTTACCATTTTATTCGTATAAATAAAATAAATTTATAAAGTTTCCTAATACCTTTACTGCTATATTTTTTTCTACTGTCCGTTTTCTTTTTTTTTCTCTACTGTCCCACAGAACCACAAACAGAAACTATTGAAATCACAACAATTCCCTCTTGGTATTCAAAATATTTTCAACCTATTAACTAATAAATCTACCTCCCACCTAGACATTGGCAAAATCATCGACATCCGATGGAGCCACTGAATTAAAGGAAGAAGAAGAAGAACCGCACACGCGGTTATATTCGGTTTGGAGATCCAAATAGGAATAGATTTTGTAAATGACTACCTTGTAAAACAGCTAAAACTAGATTTTAAAATATTAATCCTTAAAAACTTTGTATTACCCAGTTACTTGAAACTTGGGCCTTGTTCAGCGTCAGCGTATGTGTTAGGTGCACACTTTCAATATTAATGTGTTAGGTGCATACTTTCAATATTGCAAAGGTCATTTCCACCTCGAACAGTCGACAACAAAATAAGTATTGTTATTTGCTAAATTTGGTTATTATTTTACCTGATAATTCCACTGTTATAAATTACTTTGGAAAAGAGAAAGGGCTTATTACCTATAAATATTATAAAATGAAGTTCCCCGGCCGCGCCTGTCTGTATGAACGCAATAAACTCAAAACTACTGAACGCATTTTTGTACTGTTTTCACCATTAGATAGACCTATTTCTTAGCGTTGCAGGGATTCACCGTGCGGGCGCCGGGTCCATCGCATGATAGATGGGGGCAACACATACGACTACGACAGCGTCTGGGAATTGCAATCCCGATTTAATTCATGTTGGTTTTATGTAAATCACAAAAAAACTTATTTTATATAAACTGGGTGAAAAAAGGAAGACAGTTACCGAAATCCACGCGGGCGGGAAACGGGCGGAAGCTAGTTATCTATAAACACGAAAAAGCATAGACACAGATACAGAATCTAAAGTCTTATTGAATGAATAAGTCAAAAAGTTTTAGAATAACTTTGGTTTCCAGTTCGCGTGCGTTTATTATTGTCACTTTCCGTACACATGTCAAAAAACTAAATAGGCAACTGGATAAAATGTTTTTTTTTTAGGAACGCAGATAGAATAAAATATTTTAACTTTTACTACTTTTTTACTAGTTAGGAGGGCTATGTGTATAATAAAGGGCTATACGAGTGTAAATTAATAATATATGATTCATAAGAGATTATATTATTATTACATATTCGAGGACAATACATAGTACTGATCATGTAACTAAATTGCTCGCCAAGGGCTTGACCTCTCCTCGATCTCGGTCTCGATCGAGATCAATTGTAAGTGCATTGTAAACGCAGTTGACAACAATAAATTTGTTCCGAACAAAGGAATGAGTTACCTAATGATACTTGTTTTTTTTTATCCTTAAGTGCACACAACATTGATATTTAACTAGCACAGCAAGGTCAAAATTCACTTGAAATGCGAATTATGCTTAATTTTAACTAAATATATCTAACTAAACATCAATAAAGCATTTATTTAAAGTTATTTTTTTCTGAAATATTCCAAACGCAACATATAAATGACAAACTCGAAATACTCGATAAACCTAACTATAGTACGACCCGAATTACTAAATTATTCAAAGTTTTTTAAAAAAACTTTAAATAAATGATTTAGTAAATTAACACGTGACAGTCAAATGAACATTATGCGTTGCAATTTATCTTTTGCAGTAAATATATTTCGGTGACATTAGGTATAGTTTTGCGGTAAATGATCTTATCAACTAAATTATATTTTGTGACTAATATTGCCGTGCCACTGTGCGATTGGCGCACTGACCTCTTCACGAATTGCAGTGGTCGTGGTCGAAGATCGAGTCGATGTAAAATAAACTCGCACCAGTCCTCTTTTAGGCCTAAAAGTTACCTCATATACTTTTCTGTATGATGATGAAGTAATTAATTGAATATTTCTATATTGTCAAATAAACGAACACGCCATTAACAACCACCTGTAAAGTACTGTGTTTTACTACTGTGTAGACAAACCAAAGGTCCAAAAACTACATTTTGACGGAGGTTTTCTTCCTACCCCTTCCACGAAGAACCTTAACTTTATATAACTTATGTTTAAACTTAAGTAGGTAAAAGTTAGGAAGCAGTGCCCATTTCTTGTTAGCCAAGCTACGAATTAGTGTTACTAGTTGTAAAGGTCAGATTGAATAATGTAATTTGACCGTACCGCGAGCAATAAAGCGTTACCTCTTAGTAATTTGTATCTGTACCTTACAATATCCTTAATCTATACTAATATTATAAAGAAGTAAAGTTTGTGTGTGTGTATATTTGTTAAATTGTAAGGGGCAATCTCGGGATCTACTGAACCGATTTTAAAAATTCTTTCACCAATAGAAAGTCACATTATTGCTGTGTGTATAGGTTATATAAAAAACCGAAAAATAAAAAGGCTTTTACGTGGTAGTCCGTTTTGCAAAGTGAATCGGAGAAAAAACGGTCGAATGAAAGCGTTTCTAACGAACGCTGCCTTAACTATGAAAGATATTGTTGTTGAAAGATCAATATCTTTGCACTAGGCACTGCTTCCTAACTCAACAATATCAATATATTGTGGAGTTCTAGAAAAAAGATATGGAGCTTGAAAATGCCTACAAAAAAGTCAACGACAGCATATGTCTAACTTTTATATTTAAGTTACAAAAAGTAGCACTCCACCTTTAAGCTACCTCTGACAGTCTCACTAGAGCTACAGTCAGTTTGTTCCATACGTAAAAATGGGCCACTCGGGAAACTTTTACAAGAAACATCTTTAATTATATGGGACGAATGTACCATGAGTCATAGAGGTCATTTTGAAGCAGTAAACTGAACGCTCAAAGACCTCAGAAACTCTGATGCTGATTACAGCATCAGAGTTTCAAAAGTAACGCTACCCATTAGGGTAGCGTTACTTTTGTTTTCGCGGGCGATTTTCGGCAAACACTGCCTGTAGTAACAAAAGGAACACGCGCCGATGTCATCAGAGCATGCTTAAAATCATCTCACTTATGGAGTTCGGTTGCATCTCTCAATTTACGAACAAACATGAGAGCCCATTTGAGCGACAACGACGATGATGACTTTCCGCGTCAACTACTCAATCTTGGCGAAGGAAAAATTGTCTCTCCTAACACCAACAGCAATTACATTAAACATGACGAGACATTAGGACACATATTGCACAGGTTGGAACATCTTATTGACGCAATATATCCCGGTCTTGAAAATTTGTTGGAGAGAGATTATCATCGGTTTTGTTCTAGGGCAATAGTGTCACCCAGAAACGATACAGTGAATGAAATAAATAAACTCCTTTTAGAGAAAATTCCCGGTCAGGTCAAACACTATAAGTCTATTGATACGGTGTGTAATATTGAGGATACAGTGCACTATCCCAAGAATTTTTAAATTCTTTGAACCCTTCTGGCTTACCTCCTCACGACCTTGTGTTAAAAGTTGGCATTCCTATCATCCTATTAAGAAACTTGAGCCCCCCCAACATGTGTAATGGGACAAGGCTGCTTACAAAAGAGTTACGGGACAATATAATCGTGGCGACCATTCTCACAGGGCCAGCAGTGGGACAACTGGCTTATATTCCTGGATACCCATGATTCCCACTGATTTACCCATACCGTTTAAAAGGCTACAGTTTCCAGTGAAGATCTCTTTTGCCCTCACTATTAACAAGTCCCAAGGTCAAACATTCTCTCTGGTGGGCATTGACCTGAGAAAGCCGTGTTTTTCCCATGGGCAGTTATATGTTGGCTGATCTCGGGTTGGAACTCCTGATAGACAATATATTTTGCTACTAAATGATAACATTACATCCAATATAGTTTACAGAGAAGTTTTGAACAATTAAAATTACCATAACCAAACTAACTTTTCCCGCGACTTGGTCCTCATGGAATTCATTTATCGCAAATCCCGCAGAAAATGTTTTTTCTTTCGGACAGAGTTACTTTCGAATTTTGTATTAGCATGCAAATACAAACTATAGCTACGTAGAACCCTCCTTTTGGCAGTTAGAAATTAAAACATAACACTCTGTACTAAAAAAGGATAATTAACATTATGCCCAACGAAGTGGGCACGGGTCAGCTAGTAACGTGGAAAGAAACAAGTCTCTTTAGAAACTGCTACTAGAGATAGATATGTGAAAAAAAATGATAAATCACCGTAATAAATGGGCCCAATGCTTGTTTTTAGTTGAATAAAGATGCTTGTTGTGCTATTGAGCTAACGATCTCCAAGGTCAAACAACAGACGAGAACAGTTGTACTGAAGTTATATTTACCAACACAAACTGCTGACCCAACCATAAACACATACAGTCATAATAAAAACAAGCAATCACTTTAAGAACAAACTGGATAAATATCTCCATTCTAAAAACATATTGTAACAAATACGTGTTCATAGTCTTATCAGTTATCACTTATCAGGAACCACCTCACAAAACAAAACACCTCACATTTTTATAAATCAATAGTACTTGTATTTATAATAATAAAAACTTAACACATCTCACACACAGCCGCCAAACAAGGCAGACCCTATGCTATGTTAACCAGACAGCTGATAAACATACATATATATTTCTAAATACATACATAGTATACATAAATTACACCCAGACAGAAAAAAACATATTGCTCATTACACAATTATTTGTACTGGGTGGGAATCCAACCCACGACCTTTAACTTAGCAGTCAGGGTCACTAAACACTAGACGAACAGATACGTCAATATTTTATCTACATTAAATGCACAATGTATCTAACGTAAATAACTGGTTAAAGAACAATACTGTGGTCTGTTTGGCTTTTGCCCCCTTTCTACCTTTGTCCTTAAATGTAACGCCAAGAGTAATTCGTGGAAATTTGCCCCCTTTTTAGGAATTCCTACAAGTAAATTAGCTTGGAGAAATTTTTGCGTTTGTAGTAGTAGGCACCTGCGGACAGCGTAAACTGGTTTATTCTGGTTTTGTGCGTGTTTCCACTTTCCACTATCAAGTGACGATTTTTTGCTTTAGATTGAAAAATCTCGGAAACGATGCGTCCTAGGCCAAAAATAACCAAAATTTTGACCCCTCCGTAAACCCCCCGGAGTATTAGAAACCTAAATGAAAGGGAAAAAAAAAAAAAATTTAAATATCGGTCTCTCCTCTTTGAAGTTTCACTTCTATCGTGTGTGAATCGCACACACATTTTTTATAAAGTCAAAACCTTTTTCTTTAAAATAAAAACTTGTTTTTATTGAAAACAAAAATCAGAGTGTTGCTAGGGATAAGTATAAAATTAAATAGTAATGTTAGGATATCGAAACATTTATGTATAGGCCAGAACGATATAGTGGAAACGCGCTCTAAAATCTGAGTAATATACACACCACTACATATGCAATAAATTCTCGAGACTAATTTCACTGTACTTTTATTTAATTTTTATTACTTTCCCTATTATCCTTATTTTTTAGAGCCAAAGGCAGAATGGAGGCAAATACCGAACAGACCAATACTGTATTGTTTAAAATAGCTTCGTAAATTGCCCATTATTTTTTGTAACAGGAAAAAGCTATAAATGGTAGCTTTGGATTATCCTTAGTAGATGGATATATACCATACATATATGCACACATATTAAAAAAAAACTAAATAGAAACTGTTTTGTCAGTTTCTATTATGTTCAGAGAGGAAAGATGTAGTGAGGGAATTTTTTATCATATTTAAATGATGATGATGAATAATGTCTTGAAATATTCATACCTGGTGCAAGGCCTCTTCCTGTTGTGAGTCCCTGTCGGTGCGCACTGCCACCTCAACCGTCATCGCTCGTGCAAGGATGCGCTCTGCATACCGCATAATATCATCCTTATCACCTATGAAACATAATTATTGGTAAATCTTTTGAAAACCATATATCATGAATATGTATGTCTAAAGAATCTATGCATGTATGTCTATCTATAGAAGGTCCATGTGATGACAGCTTAAGAATATGGAGTGTCACCACCCTTATCCATCCTATGGGTGTCATAAGAGCCAGCTAAGGGAGCAAACTATGCCCACAGTTATCCTTGTCAAGACAACAGCACTGCAAAGAGAAGGCAACTTAAAACAAATGGTATACCATCCAGTCTGGTCAGCGTGGTATAGTAGACCAAAACCTCCTTTCTCTGGCTGATGATGATGATGTTTATAGAATAACTATACTAGACCATCCAGCGAACTAGTAATATACCATTGGCAGTAGTAGACCTTTCCAATGTACCAGCTTGCATGGTCTAAATCACTTACAATACTACTAAAGTATAATAAAATAATCATTTTGACTTAATGGCTCTAATTAATTTAATTCAATGCAATTAACATACTTTAAGATGGAAATATCAAACATTACATAAATTATTAGAAGTCAATTACTAAAATATTCCAGAAATGTTACAAGTCTAGTCTATTGTGAAATATGTAACAAGATTATACTACAAGAAGTCTTTCTATCTTTCTTGTTGCATTAGGGCTGTTACAAGCCCGAGTAATGTGCTAAGTTAATTTATATCCACATAATGTTAACTCACATTCGGAAACATCACCAAGTAACTCTGAATGCTTGATACTATCTAGTGTGGAAAGTAATGAATCACGCTCCTCTACTATGCGCACAGCATCACGCCGCAGTCGCTCCACCCTCATTTCCACTTGGTCTAATATAGCTATCAACCTGTTCAGAAGTAAACAATTTAAGTTTTAAGTAAAGAACACAACATAGCTTTGTAATTTTTTTTTTTGTTTGGTAAAATGTAACCTTTGCTTTGAGCAGTACAGAAGTGTAGGTATTATTTATTATTCCATAGTATATAAAGTGATCCAGCATGATTTCCAAACATTTTCAAAATTGATCCAGCACTAAAATTTTACAGTAGGCCAAAACCTCCTTTCTAAGGAGAGGCCTATGTCCAGCAGTGGACTGTTAAAGGCTGTTGATGATGATGATGACTAAAATTTTAGTCTTTACAAGAAATAAATTTTGTTTATATAGCTACCGCTACGTCTTAATGTTATCCATATATAGTGCTATGTAATAAAAAAGCCGGAAGAGGCGCTGCCCTGTCAAAACTACATAAATAATTATTCACAAAATATAAATGAACTACTACTGCGTGGGCGCGAATAGTGAAACTTATTATAAAGTCGAACGCTTATATTAAATGGTGACCATTTTTGGTCAGCGGCAGCACACGACACCTTTTAATTTTGTAGTTACACACGCTCAAAACCTTTTATATACCTATCTTTCGGAGCTTGTGTTCCAAAAGCCGTCGACTCATCGATGAGAGGTAGCCGCGACCCTTCGCCGGTATACAGTTCCATTGCGAACTGATCCACTTCCATACTTTCTAAGTCTTGTCTCCTCGAAGAGGCCAGTGTTAATACGTTTCAATCGTAGATTTTTCACTGATATACGATTTTTTAACAATCAGTAGGGTACAATTTTGTTCTAGATGTCAAACTCAAACTAACCAAAACAAATTGAATGACGTTTCGTGAACGTTCTCAAATATTTTTCTTGTACTGTCTTGTCTTTTGAACTGATACAAGAAATACTACAGGCTACAGCTACAGTTCTACGACTTCCACTGGTGCTGCCAATCCAAAAAAAAAAATTACACAAAATCTGAGTAGTAAATATACCTACCGTGTACCCATCCCATAGGCATAAATAAATAAAATTTACAAGAAATGCTCAAAAATATGGCATACGATAAAAAATATTTATAATAGTGATTATTTATTATTAAAAAGTTTGGCTACACCACTTTATGTCTAGAATATATTAAATGTATAATACTATATATTGTATTGTGAAATGTATAAAGAAAATAGACAACTTATTATTACATTAATTTAAAAATAGTAGATGATGCTAGTACTTGGATGACAATGCTATACTTATGTATTGGTATCTTGGATGGTTTTTCGACCCTTGAATGGTTACTAGTAAACCATTACCAAATGCATTTTAGCGTGTCATACAGATTGGGTCAGTTATGATGGCCTGTTACTCTTTAGTTTGTTTTGACATCTAAGTATGTTTTTATCTGTACTTCTATTTTACATATGATTTTCAGTCTATTTTCGACGATGATGATGCAACACTATCGATCATTTATTTTACTTATATTCAAAGAATTTTATCATGCAATATCTCTTGTGAAAAATGAAATTTATCATTCATCGTACTATAGTAATGTTGCCAATGATGTTGCCTCTCAAAACAGTTTAAAGTAACTTAAACGGTTATAGTAATTGAACAAAAAATCTATGTAAATAATTCTAAATATATAATACTAACAAAATAATGCCTAACAGACTCCGTATGTGTATAGTTATTTGTGCAGTAGTAGTAAAATTAAAATATCGTTGCGTTCATACAAAACCATTAAAATAATTGATTAGGACCCCAAGGATTACTCGTATGTTTCCCATGCTCAAATCAGCACAGTCACATCAGTTACAGCAAACTTCAGTCAATGCCATTACTAAATTTATACAGATTAATCAAGTTGTAAACGCGATGTCATTAAAGATGGGCAAATGGCATTTTTTTATTGGCAATTTATCAGATCGAAACCCAGGTAAATACAAAAAGCATTGATAAAAATGATTCAATACAATGTTGTTCAAATATTATTCTTCCATCATACCTATCCAAGTATAGTTTAAAATTTAGAACTTTATAAGCAATATCCCTTTTTTACCGTTGCCTTCCCTTTCTACCTAACTTTTAATTTATTCCCCATTTTCTGATCGCTAGAGTGCCACGTTTGCAGCAATAGGCTTATAGATTATTACATATTATTAAAACGGCGTGAGGGGTCTATGGACCCCTGGTCGGAAAGATGTTCCGCAAGACGTGTCGGAAAAAAGTCTTGTTACACATTTTTCGGTCTCGCTCCCATCCGCTCAGTGCGTGTCACACGCGATATGGTACTTTGTTGCAATAAAATATAATGTTTCGTTTCTTTTGGCAATATATATGTGACGAAGATTGCTGAAGGAGCGCTCTGTAGCTGCCGCAGTCTAGGAGTCGAGACAGGAAAATTCAGAATCCAGTTATAAACTTCTTTGTTTTATTTCTGTTCCAACATTAGCGGGTCGTTACTTCAAATTGGGGAACTTACAGACTTACATATTTAACTTTAGATTTTATGTTTCGAAATGTTTGCGTCACAAATTCCGGCCTGGGCATACGGAAGGAGCCAAACTGGGTGTTAAACTATAAATCCTATTTACTCTATGTCCCCAGTCATGCTCCACCCGGTTAAAAAGCTATACCAACAGATTTGGTTGATGGCACCTTTACTTTTGGCATGTTACATTACATAGGTACTTGAAATAAAACTATTTCTATTATTTACAAATACTTTATTTGTATCTTACGTTTAGAATGTGAAATGAAAAAAGCTAAAAGAATAAACTCAAAAGTTTAATTAACTATGATATAAAGTATAACGATCATGATTATAAGCCAGGGATTCCCAAAGTGGGTCCCCTTAAGGTTGAAATCGATTTCCGAGGTCCGGGTCGATTTAAACGAAAACTGATTTTGTATGAGTCGTGTTATGTGTACCAACCTGTTATATGAATGACTAATATTTTAGTATGAAGTATCATTGTTGTACCTTTATAAAACTCAAGTCGATAAGCGTGCAGTAATTTGGCTATGGGGTATCAGGTATCAGATCATTTTAGAAAAGGGTTCTCTTGCCCAGAATAGTTTGGGAATCCCTGGGTTAAGCTATACCGAACGAATTTGTAAATGAGCTAAAATCTTACAGTAATCACTTTGAATCTATATGCTTTACAATTAGTGTCCTCAGAATGCTGAACATATACGTTGACAACTAATACCGCCACTTCCTGTATGTACCTTTAAATACTACTTGCATGATGCTGTTACTTACAACCATTATCAGAAATGAATCATTTCTCAAATTTTGTACGTTTTTTACAAAAATTAGGAGCATCGAACTGATAAAACTTTATAAAACGGCCGGACAGACATGCATTGGTTGACATTGAAATCATAGACAGCTTCAACTGCATCTATTGATGAGAACTAGCTATTTTTCGTCGAGAATTCTTGAGGCGCAAATATTTGCCTAATAATCTTGACTGAATTTCTGTATGGAAATCAAACGAAGATGAGTTTACTGTGTTTTATTACTATTTACTTTTACTAAATCATATGAAAATTTAAATATTCTGCACGAAACTGTTTAGTCGCATTCGTCGGTTTAGGTAATATTGCTCATCCTAAAAAATATTAATAAAAAAATGCTTATATGAAAATATTCTTTGGGACGGATGTTTTTTTTAAATTACACTTGTACCTGATTTATAAATATTTTATATTGTCCGCTTGATTTATATTAATCATCGTCGGAGACTCAATGTCGTTAAAAGAAAACTATGAGCTACAACGCTAGTTTATAAAATTTAATAACAGTAAATTAGCAAATGAAAATTTAATTACTGTTTATAAATAAAATAACAAAATAATAATAGAAACTATAGTTAATTGTAGAGAAACTGCACAATAATTATTTATTCATTAACAGTCATAGTTGATAACAATATTTCATTTCTAAGAGCATGCAAAATAACCAATCATGAAGTCTTATTTCACTTGATAAAATAATTTTATTACACAGTAATTTTTTTATATATTATTTACTCATCAAAACTAACACCGTTTTGACTAAACCTTTGTTCTATATAAAAAGGAACCCCTTTTTTCATTCAATCTCGACCTGCAAGGAAACCTCCTTGCAGGTCGAGATTGAATTCTTGGAAATATTTCAGATATGTGTAGTAAATAATCTCTTTTTAAGAAAATAAGGAGTGTTCATAGGTATCCAGATCATGAAATTTAAATACTATTTTTAAATCGAGTAAGTAACCAATTTTTTTAGTTAAAAATCAACATGGTAAGTAAAATCAATCAAACAAAATTACAGAATAAAATTAATTTAAAACATATTCACAGTCTTCATATTTTTAAAATCTCCAAAATTCTAAATTAAGTACAAATGTAACAATAAATAAATCTCTGATTCATAAGGAAGTAATAACAAACACAATTGAACACTTGTACATTGTCACAGAAAATATTTTTTTGAAAGTCTTTATGGTCTGGCCAGGAAAATATAAAAACCTCATCAATTTGCGCAAAACAAATAGGGCTCATTTATTTTAATGCAACACATTTATGAGTGTAATGCTATTTACTATTCAGATATGTACATCATTCTTACTAATCAAAAATTTTCTGTTAAAATTTTCATTAACCACCATCTAAACACTAACACAAAAATAAATCCACCATATATTATGTCACACCATCCGTGCTAATTTTTAAACTCCGATGCAAACACAAAGAATCAATCAATCAATCATTGTTTACGAATACAAGTATAGACAAGGTAATACTAATTCGAGCTAGCCATTTTCTATCATTTGTTCAACGTGATACACAACAAGCCAGTATTAGCTAGACTGTGATAGCAGTAGTTAACATAAGTCAATTTTCAGGGGTATGACCACACTTAGTGTTGCAATAAAAACGCAATTGAGACGCTCCTGGGTCAAGTTTTTTTTCCTGGTCAGACTATAACCCATATTCCTTATATAGGTATGAATTTAAATAGACTTTAGTCAAACGTTTATTTGAAGACATTTATTTCAATTGACATAATACAATAGTCGAAACATATTTTGGACGCGATTTTTAAGGGACTAGTACCTAGTAATGAATGTATGACAAACAAACGGACTAAGGTTTTACTGTAGAAAAAAGACTCGTTCTCATGAAGTTTCACCTCATTTATAAGGATTTTAAGGGTAGGCAATTTTTATACTGTTAGTGCTTTATATGGTGGTCTTTAGCGGCAGAACAAAGAGGATTTTAGTTTTACTCTATGAACGATTTAACTATCTAAATTTGCCAAACCTAGAATTAGAAGACATAGTATGCCCCTTAGCATGTTTACAAAAATCAATCAATACATTATAGTAAAGAAAAGATTTAGAAATAGAGATATCATAATCGAAATCAAATCGATAATATTTTGAATTTTTAATATTAAAATCAGAGGGCATTGAAACATGCAGTAAATCAAGGTGTATAACTAAATACAAGAGATAAAGATTACCAGTCATCTCAAACAATTGATTTGAAATAAAACCACTAAGGTTTTAATTATTCCATTATCTACATAATCAGATTGGCATGGTGGTAATCCTAAGTCTTGTAGGAAAAACGACGACATGTAGAATATTATAGAGAAAAATTTATGCACATTTATGCCTGTTATACATTTCTAAATTTATGTTAATAGAACATTACTTTTTATTTGCTATGTATAACTAATACCTTTACTGTTCCATTACAGTTTAATACTCATACAAACTTGTCCCAAAATATTTCTAATTAATACATTTAAAATTTAAATTGTCACTAAAAAACTTTTAAACACTTTAACTGACAAATAAAATCTGATAATATATTTTACACAAGTCATATCTATCTTACTCATGACAGTTATTCATACATGCATTAGCTATTATAGGTACACATATTATTTTAATAGCATCTCTTCACAAGCAATTCAACGTAATTATCTAACACAAAATTATAACAATTTACATTTTATATAATCTTAATCAGACCATTTAGACTTAAAGGTTGTGAAAAGATAGGTCGTCACTAATGCTGCAGCGGTTTATAGCTACTATCAAAAATCCTTGCCTTTAAAATTCTATCCTTCCCCTGTTTCATGACATGGGAAGGAATAAAATTTCAAAGGTCGGGCAAAGATTATGGCAATGGAAAAAAAATTAGATAATATTGACAATGAAAACAGGTCCCAATTATAATTTGTGATTTTATTAGTTCTCTATAAAGTTTTATTAAATGCTAAAAGACACATAACTTGTATGTATATCAATGAATAATCAAGCGTTGTTTGGTCGCAACACTATTATTTGTATTGACAGTGGGTGGAAGAACTTAAGCTCTTATTAACTTAAACAAAGAGGAATTTAGCAATTGTTAAGTTTATTTAAAAACATTTTGCAGGTTTTACATTAAATTACTTACTTAAATACCTTATGGTTGTCCTGGTCAGATTTTTAATGTCAATTTAAGAAATTATGAAGAAATAAAGGAATTTAGGTAAATAAAAACGTTAGAATAAAACTTGGCGAAATAATTTATTGAGAGAATAGGCATCTACCTAATTTCAGAATACCTTTTTGCTCTTCATCATTTTAATAGTTTTATTTCTCTATATACAAATTAATAAAATTGAAGTGTCTGTAATATCAAAATAATAGGCTTTTTCATGCTCACACGGTTATTTCCACGATACCTATGCCTAAAAACCAGTATGTCTGCTTGTTCAGGTAATCTTCAAAACGGCTGGACCCATTTCGATAATATTTTACTACTAGGTAGCTGTCTATATAAGGAGTAACTTAGGCCTTTCCTTTTTCCTCTCAAAAAACCTATAAAAATTTTGCACGGTCCGGGGATAGAAACTGAGTCCTCATGGACAGCAGTCGCGTACTGTACTACACCACTACGGCAGCGCTTTTCAAATTCCACGCGAACGAAGTCGCGAGTACCAGTTAGTATACATATAAAAATGTTAAATTGGTTTGTATACGCTTTAAAAACTCAAATAGTTCTGCACCGATTGAACTCAAAGTTCAACACGATATACGAACCGCTTCAAATATTGATTTAATCTATTTTTCTCATTTCTCATCAATGCAACCACAACGTGCCGCAGCGAAGCGTTGGAAATTAAAGTTAGGTTATAATATTTATGTCACTATAACCCGGCAATCTCGTGCGCTACCGTCCCGCGGGGTGACAGACAGTGGCGGGGGCGAGGTAGCGCGTCATTCTAGCACACGGCTACATACGAAGAGAAGTGTTTCCCCTCCCCGCTACACCACCCGCTACCCGCTGACATCTTGAGTACCTCGTCCCCGCCACCGTCTGTCACCCCGCAGGACGGTCGCGCACGACGTTGATGGACTATAGTATTTGAGTCATATCAATACCTATGGCTTTAAAAGAAATATTGACACCTTTTAATCACAAGGTTTGTAGTGCTACTAGGCGATCCAGCTAAGCTTTATTAAAGAAGTTTGAGTAAAAATTTCCATAAGTTTCTCCATCCACTGTCAGTACAACTTAAATAAATCACCCTACGTAACGCCTAGTAAAGCTTCAATCCGGTACAGCAAACATACATCTCTCTCTCTCTCGCTCTCTATAGCTCTAATAGAAAGGTAGATATGGCTTATAGAAGTCAGTGCTTCACTTCCCGGCCCACTCGCTGATCCTGCCGTTCTCAAACGCTAGGTTCTTTCTAGGTAAAGGTACAAGAGAACCACGCTTCACTATCCCCATGTCCTCGCCGGGATAGTACTGAAATTTAATGATTATGTAATTATTAATATTCCTTAAAAAATATTATTAGTAAAAGAAGAACACAATAATTATGAAAGTAGTGATGTGCTGGATATCTGTATTCCTTACTTTTTCTCTTTTTGATCGTGTATTTTATAACGTATATGAGATTATACATTTATTTTGTAAATCTAATCTGGTAAATGACAAATATTTCTAACAGTTTGAAGGTTTTATTTAACAAAAACATGTTCATTGCAAGTCGAAACATGTTTTGATATTTATTTCTCAAAATCAGATTCTCAATTGATATTAACTGGAAAAAAACTTGAGGTCCGTATTCGCGGATCCAAACATTTAATAATCCGGGTTCGTATCGATTTCTTTTCTTTTTAACAACTACCGCATTAGGAATATATCCTGTGTTGCGGGGGTATTTACAAACATACATGAAACGGGCACAAACAACACTCAGAACTCAGAACAAACAATTTGTGGATCACACAAAGTGTTGTCCCATGTGGGATCGAACCCACAACACTCAGTGCAGGAGGAAGCGGCGAGGTGACCGCTTAAACCACTATGCCATCCGTACAGTGAACGGATGAAGTCTATTGCGATATACATTTTTAATGTATATCGCAATAGACTTCATCCGTTCACTACATAAAAACACATTACTACATAAAAAAATATATTTATATAAATTTATGGAAAACGGAAGATCAAAATTTAAAAAAGTGATTCGGCCTTGATAATAGTATTTGACGGGAATGTACTACAAAGTAAATCATTGTTTTTAATTTTTTTAAGTCTCAGTCTCACTAACTACAAATACAACTGTCTAAAAAACTGTCAGTCTGACACTACTTACCTGACATTGTGATACAAATTTCAGTACATCTGAACGAATGAATTCATTGTCTTCTTTCACTTTTTCTATCCTAAAAAGATAGTTTATTTTTAAAAATTTATTTATATGTACGTATTTTATTAGGATCAACTCACATTGAGCTCATTCAGCTCACAACTCCAAGCATTTACAAGCGAGATTAATTATTTTTTTATATTTCTATAGCAAATAACAGTAAAATATTTGAACATCTAAGAATATAATACATAAAATATACAATATTCTGAGAAACATTAATATGATTAGTTTATGAACATATATAATTGTTTATATGTTCGAGCATGCTCTTGTAGTCGCGAGGTATAATTTTAGTATTTTTTTGTTTTGTATGTATGTATGTACTTACAGTTCAGGCTTAGCTATCCGTTCTACGACACATATGCATATTTTTTCACATAGATTTTCATCAAACAGAGGTATACCAAACTGCAGATCAAGTATAGTCCATCTCTGTAAAAAAATAACATTATTTGTTCATAACATTTTCAAATTATTTTTTTGACTGAACTGAATAGCAATTACATACTGTAATTTTTTTTCAGACCTGGGTTTTATTAAAAGAAATGATAAGTAGAGTGTAGTATGGAAAACTCACCTCAGGTTTACATGTCTCATCATCTGATATGTTGTGCGCAGTATCGACTCCGCTATCACCTTCCGCCGCCGACATCTCAGTCAACTTATCACTTAACTGTGTAAACATCGATATCGATTCCTCAGCCGGGCTCAACAGATCGTTCAACTGGTTCATCGATTTGTCGGTTTTCTTACTTAAATTCTCACTACTGACCGAGGTCGAATGTATTGGAACGAGATCTTCGATAGTCGATATTGAATCTTTACTAGTCGATTTTTCTTGGGAATGTTTTTTATCAGGTTTAAGGTCTTCGATGCTTGTGGAGGAGGAATGTATGGGTACTAAATCGTCACTGCATGCTATGGACTCTTTACTATGTGCATGCTTCTGGTCATCGAGAGCTAGATTATCGAGTTCGTCGCATAGTAGTTGGCCGCCTTCGACAGTTGTGAAGCCATTCGCTGGGGAAGTGCTTTTGCTCTCTGTGGTCGGAGTGACTGCAAAATGAGACTCTATAGGAGATTGCAGCCTGGCTAAAGACTTGGCGTACTCTTCGCTGTACTTGTCTGTGGATTCCGTTGATGATAATGATATCTCACTTACAGGTTTCGCGATGCCGCATATGTCTTTCTTCTTTTTGGTTTGCACTGTAAGAATAATAATCGCTATTCACATCTATGGTACAAGAGACTTACTGAGAGTGTTCTAATAACTATTAACTGTCATCATCATCATCAACAGCCTTTAATAGTCCACAGCTCGACATAGGCCTCTCCTTGAAAAGGAGATTTGGACCTACTATACCACGCTGGCCGGACAGGTTTTTATAGAGTTCGTATCAAGTTTTCCTTCTCTTTGTAGTGCTGTTGTCCTGCGTAGTTCGCTTCCTTAGTCGGCTCTTGCGACACCCATGGGATGAATAGGGGTAGTGATACTCTGTATTCTTAATCCGTCACCATTCGGAATTAACAACTGTACTAGAGATGAAATAGTAAAATAGATGACTTTTGACTTAACTTTTGCATCAAATAAGTTTAGCAACTTTAAATGATAAGGATATATTCATCTCACGGCGACAGACCACGACTACGTAAAACCATCCATTATAAGTGCAACATAGTCAGAGCTTTTTGGTAAAATTGCCATGGACCTTTAAAGAAGTACTACAATGGTACCATAAGTGATATCTTCCGTAGCTAGTTAAATGTTACAATGCATTTAAGCTGAATAGTACTGAATGATCAGTGGGTACGAGTATATAGACCTTACCTAATTGGACGGTTGCCGGTGGTCTTGCGCAGCCAAGGTCTTTCACTCCGATATCTGCCAACGTGACATAACCAACTGAGCGAGTTAACCGTAACCGTTTCAGTAAGCGGCGTAATCCGGCGTGACGCGACCACATCGCTTGTGCTTCTGTCAGATTAAAATAAAAGATAGATAAAGTAGGGTTTAAAAAATGCGAATAGAGAATTTACATTTAGTTAAAGCTTAAGTATTTCAAATTAACCACTCCTTTATGCGTGAAATTAAAAGATATAATGAGCTCCTGCACGTATTGAAATATATAGTCCATTCGCGTTAAGAAAATAGTGACTCATCGATCAATCTTGGTTCGCAGAAATTATCTTTTCGTACGAAAGCTTGGAATCCGCTGCGTCACTATTTTAACTATACGACTATGGGTAATATGAAAGTGTTCTGACCGGGACAGGTGTCGGCCTCGGGCGGGAACATGAGGTGCTTGAGCGGCGCGGGCTGGCGCACGCCCAGCGCCTGCAGCAGCACGGGCCCGCGCCGCAGCGCCGTGTTGGCGGCCAGCAGCGCCGCCGCCGCGTCCAGCGCCGCGCCCGCGCCCAGCGCCGCGCCCGCGCCCTCCAGCGCCGCCTCCGCGCCCCACCACGACACCGCCAGCCGCGAGTAGCCCAGCAGCAGCCGCGGCACGCTGCGCAGCTGGGTGCCTTCACACGCCGCCACACGTTACACACATCGCAACCAAGAAAAACCCCCCAGATTATAGCTCGCATTAAAGTTATTCTTCTAATCCTCGGGGACAGTACTTATTTTGGATGAAAGCTAAAATCTCAGGGTTTGCGAAAGAGAGAAAACCTAAATATTATATATTATAAAGTTTAGGTTTCCTCGATCTGTGGATGATACGTTTTTTTACGGAAAAGTGTTTTTCTTCTTCTGTTCTTGTGTCGTCTTGTAGGTAAAATTTGATGATGATGAGTTGAGTAATTAAAGCAAGAAAATTTAATAAATAAAGAAACTGAAATTCTATATTTCTTCTGAAATAAGATAGTCACCCTTAGTGAGCAGTAGCGTGGGCGGTCCGTAGCCGGCGACGTGGTACAGGTAGAGGCGCATCCAGGGCGTGGAGGCCTCGGGCGGGGCGGGCCCCACGTGCGGCAGGCCGCCCGCCGCCGCGCCCGCACGCGCCTCGCGGGACAGCGGCGCCGTCGACAACGCCAGCCTGACGGCCCGACGCACATTTACAAGACATACCGTACACACACCTATCGCTAGTAAATCTATCATTTTAAGTGCAAAAAAAGCGTATTAATATATAATAATAATAGTTCTTATCCGCATTCTTTAAAAATGTAACGTTACACTCTAGTAGACTACAGTCGGGCTCGTAACTCGTCCCCGAAATACACAGGTAAATATAACCATACTATATCTTTAATATTCGTTTTTTTTAAATCGTTTTATTATATTTACAATTTAACTAAATGAAAGTCTATTAAATTATATTTTACCTATACTTAGTACTCAACAGTCTAGTCCGGACGGCTGTCCCTAAAGCATGAAGCGCTTCACAACGCAACAAGTCCAAAGGTCGTAGCCGCGGCCTTAACGTTCGCAGCGCTATCCGTAAACAAGCTGCAGCAGCTAAATACCGCCGCGCTTCACCTTCTATCTCCGGGTCAGCTACTACCTAAATACAAATAAAAATAATATACTCAAATAAACTCAACAGGAAAAGTATTTTTTACCAGAATGGAAAAACAACACTATAAAAACAATTATATTATTTTACCTTATCTAACTCCATAAGTAGACTATCAAGACTCTCGTCTGGTAGTTTGCCAACTTCAAACAATGTCACCGCATGACTTTTCAAATCCTGAAACAAGTAACCACATAAACTGACACCTTTAATGACAACAGTCCCTGCTTGCCACAGCCAATTGCTCTATACTTGGATACTTCCTTTTGCTGTCATTACAAATTTCCTACAAACCCGGATACCGCATTTAGATAACCGGGTTTTCGGATACCTCTGACCTAACCTTTTCTCCGCACAAGACCAAATTCATCATTGTATATGCCACGTAGTCGACCCCTATCGACCTGACCACTTTTGCCTGTACGAAAATATTGGTGCAGTAAAGAAAACTGAACAAATATACTTTTGAATTAAAAACCATTGTCACTTGGATATTCATTGTGTTGTTTCTGTGTTCAATAATTCTGTGATACAAAAGTAGTTTAGTTGATTTTTTTCCATACCAGTGAGCAATAGAGACGTAATGCGAAATATGAATAATAAGCTCACACACGGCCGCCTGATCCCAAAGTCATCTTCATCAACAGCCTTTAATAGTCCACTGCTGGACATAGGTCTCTCCTTAGAAAGGAGGAGGATCCCAAATTAGGCAGAGTCTATGCTATGGTGACCAGACTGCTGATAAACAGACTTACATTCCTAAATACATTACATTAGATATTATTGATTAATAACACCCAATAACTATTAAAAATTAGGTATGTTTAATAGGCATAACCGTGGTGTACACTTACCGGTGACAAATTCCCCATCATTAAGTAGGCAGCTAACGTGGAGTCAAACAACACGGCCACCCTTCGACCACCGCCGTTGTTGATATTTTCTATATATTCTTCCTGACCCTGTGAATCAAACAGTAGTTATAATGTCGCGGGTGACTTTACAAACATAAATGAAACAGACATAAAGAACAACCGGACTCAGAACAACAATATGTGGATAACACAAAGTGTTGTCCCATGTAGGGATCGAACCCGAATTAGGAAGCGGTGAAGTAATCGCTTATACTTCTATGCCAACCGTGCAGTCAAATATTAACATTCGGTAAAGTGTTTGGATTTAGACTTCGGCAACAGCTAGTATGAGTTTAAAGTATGCGACTCCAACCTGTTTGACTTACTGCTAACACGTCCCAATCCATTCATCAAATATCCTATTTCCTATCACTGCCTTTCCCTTCTTACACTTCTTTTTTTTAACACACTATTCTTTTTTTTACCCGACTGTACTAGAAGAAGGGTAATATTCTTTAAGTATATGTATGTTTATTAATTTGTTAAGCACGCTCTGTAGTTCAAACGGCTTAATGGATGTTGGCTTATGTGGTGTCGTTAGATTCGTCTTAATTGTGATAGTGACACTGGGTAGGTTATATATGCCTATGCATTTTCACAGAGTCGGGTTGCTTGGGAACAAGTGTAAATACACATATTTTACACATATCAAACACACTATGTAAGTTTAACTTAGGTTTAAATTTCATATACGCCACTTACTTGTTTAGAAGTTGAAGGTGTCTCCTTTATGATGACTGGTTCCATTTGTATGGTGTCATCGTCTATACTAGGGTCGAATGTCAAGGGTGATATCTGACTATATCTGAGAATGAGAAATGAATAATTAAATAGTTTAGTTTTATGTAGTACAGAAATACAGATTTATTGGTTTATTTATAAGTAGGAAGGCAATCAATTGCGAAGAAATCAACTCTTGTTTTTATTTTTGTATGCTGTGCTTTATGAAATAAATATTATTCTATTCTATTCTAGGTACAGGTATCTTACGTACGGTTGGTGATTATGTGTGGTAACAGCATCTTGCCACGACACATGCTGCGGTACAACGGGAGGAGGCTGCAAGTTCTTTGCGAACCCTAATCGGCAGTATAGAGAGACTGCCTGCTTTACTAGTTCACACTCGATCTGCATCAAAGAGGAATAAAACTCATAAAGTTAAATTAGCTGTAACAGTTTAATTAGGAAGCAATGGGATTGTCTACGCGTTATTGAACAAACTGCGCGCGTGGCAGCGGGACGAGGACTGGGATGCCAAGGAGGGGCCGAGAGCGAAAAAACGCGGCACAATTGAATTTTACCGCCGTTGCCGGTGATAGCATTAATATATAAAAATTGATTATTACAGTCCACTCGTTTCTTAATACGAGCCAGTAAGGGATCTGACATATTGGTCCTTCGAGCCGGATCGACAGAGTGCTGTAAATACTGTTTGAGTACAAGTTGGTAGTCTTTATTTAGAGTTCTAAAAGTTGTATACTTCTACTAGAACATATTTTTCAATAAAAAAAAATTATATACTTTTTTTTAAAGGTCTACGCAACCGAAATTGTTAGTATGCCCGTTAATCACTATTGCTAAGCTAAATTGCTTGTGTTACGAGTGGGTTCACGACGGTAGTGTCACGGTACAATTATAATACAGTACTGTAACTCGGCGGCATGATAGAAATAAATGCCTACAGCCGCGCGGTACGTAAACATGCGTTAGGGCTGCCCGTCTCCATCATTTTAATTATATTTGCCTACTTTCTGTTTCTATTTAGATTTGTGATTGTAAATATCCTTTTTATATAAATAAATGAAATACTTTGTATATTGAATAGGAAGTGTTCAATAAAAATGCGTGTTGTTTTTTGATTCACTCCCTATACATTTTGATACACTACCTATTTCACTCGTCTCAATAATTTTCCGTGACTCTATTCGCTTTATTTATTAATCCAAACACCTTTTTTTTCGTGAGATAAAAGGAAATACTTATCCATTAAAAAGACACACATTATGTACCTACCTACTAGTAAGTAAAATTATTTTATAGTCTTACCTTTCAGAGTTTCCAGGTAATTTAAAAAAACTTATGTCTGGATGCGTTATTGACGAATTCATACAACCAAAAACAGCACAATATTTCCTACTCGTCATATTAACTGATTTTTAGAGAAAAAATCGCGCGGTTATTGTTAAAAAAACAACACACCGTCCGTTCGACACTGCGTTACAGCCTTGACTGTCTGCGCCCCGAGCGCACCCCGAGATCGAGGCGCGTAGGTATAGCTCGCGTTTCGTCCGTTTGTATGAAGTTGGAGTACTGTATTATAATAGTACCGTGGTAGTGTGCTGGTCAGGATTCGAAGCCACGACCTCTTGATCGCAAGTCGAGCGCCTTAAAAACTAGGCTACCGCCGCTTCTATTATTGAATATTGGTTGTTATATTTCTCCTGATTGTGAGGTTATTGTTGGATGGATGAGGACTGCCCAAGATCATGATAGTTGTATATGTGTATATCGATCGTATATACAATATTCGATATCTGTGTAACGCAGGTTTTTCTTATGTTTTGCTTCGTGGTGGAAAATAGTTTTTTTAACAGCGGTGTATCTATCAAAGAAATTATTTGATTAATAGAGTTCTTTGTTATTATGAATATTACCATGTGTTTTAGTATCGTTTATTAATTACTAACAATTACAATGTCCACTAGTCTTTGTTACCTTTTATCGTGAGTAGTGCTATTGTGTCAATTAATATTTAATTAAAATTGAGTTATGAAGACAGTATCGGATTTTGTAGAACAAAGAACATATTTTATTGTTAATACGACATGTATTAGAATGTTGACACTATATTTTATTCAAGAATGCGTGAGTTTCAGTAAAACCTTACTAACTTCTTTTCATAATTGATTTATATCCTTTTATTTTTTTATTCTTTCAAGAAGTCAATATTTTTTTATTATAAGCAGAACATTACGAATTTACTAATAAAAACTCATACCGAATATTCACGTTACTAATTTGTTGACTACGGCTGATATCTGCAATCAACCACGCTAACAAGATAAGAAACTAATTATATCTCTGAATTGACCTCATACGAATAATTGAATTATACAATATATCAAGTGCTAAATATACTGTAATATGATTAGACGGTCATGGCCGAAAATGTCTTTTAACCCTTTGACCGCCATCGCCGTAATATTACGGGTTTTTAAGATGGTACACACACAAGATGGTGCATGCCACCCACGTTATATAATATAAGGGTAAAAAAGGTTAACATTTTCGCTTGTTTTGTCGTTTATTACGAGCAATTCTAAAATAAAAAGTAGTCTGTATATTTTCTTCACTAAATGTTGCCATTACCTATAATGTTAGTGTAGATCATGATTATGCCACAATCAATTTTCTAAATCGAAAAATTATACCTTAAGTCTGCTGGCGCTGGGGGTACATATCTGTATATCAAAGCGTGGCGGTGAAAGGGTTAAGAGCAAAATGACATTGAATTTTATTAAGGAACAATTAAAGTCCATTGTCGTATAATTAGTACTGATGATCTGACGAGTGGCGGAAATAGGTCAAGCTTATTGATTACATGATTGATTAACTCACTCCCGAAATATGTGTGTAAAAATTTTGGCAAGGAAGATGTACCGATTTATCGCATTAAGATAACAAAATAAGAATACTGTGAGTTGTTCGAAAATCAGTATGATAACTAACTTTAGGCCGGCTCAACCTGATTGATACCACGGCAATACAGAAAACCGGTGTTAGGTAACTCTTCGTTGCATTTTACCGAGTGAGTTAGGTTAGTAGAGCCCAAACCCACTCAAAAGGCTGGCAACACACTTGTGACTCTTGAGTTCCAGGTGTCTATGGGCGGCGGTAGCTATTTACCATCAGGTGACTAGTCTGCTCGCTTGTCCTCCTATACCATAACAAGAAAACTGCCTCATACTATGACAGCTAAATTTGATTAACAACTTTAAGAGAATACATTCAAGAATAAACAAATTAGTACATGGGAACCGAAAACCAATATGGTACAATTAGTTCGGAAAGATCACTACTTTATTGTTCAAAATTTATCCGACATTAAACTTATTTCAAAATTATAATATATATTTGGCAACAAAATTCTTTAGTGAAGGCATTCTTGATTATTGTCATATGATGATTAAATTATATATTATTTTTACACGCTTTATATTAGCTTCACTTGTATGTTTGTTTGTATGTTTGTAACCGACTCCTTTGGGCTTGATTTTGACTGACTTTAAACGGTCAGAATTCGTTCAAACTTTGTAGATATATCGAGGACCGATGACAATACATCAATGAAGTCTGTTATCAATAGTAAAAAGCACCCCACGCTTTTTTTTAAATTTATTTTCTATTTTTTAGTTTAGTTTTCTATAGAAAGCCTGTTTTTTAGTTTTTTAAGACTATAATTTTTTTTATTTTTTTTTATTACTTAAATAACATTTAAGTAACAAAAATAATATATAATTCAATTTTTAACTGTTTAAGACTGTTTTTAGAATGTATTATTTAAATTCAATTATAAATTTAATTAAATTGTGTAGATTATTCTTATTGAATACTGTAATATTGTTTTCTAAATAATGTAATTTCTATGGGTATTTACCTGCAATAAATGATTATTATTATTCTTATTTTTTAAATATACCTGTAATACAGACGCTAAATCTGCAACACTAGTATGCTCATCTATAGACACGAACACTTTGTACAGCAAGGTCTCGAAATAGTCTCCAGCGATGCGATTCATCACGAATCCTTTCAGCGGCGGCACAGATACTTTGTCGGCTGTCGTTATTGGTACGTCCAGGTAAATGAGACCCAGTCTGTGGAGTAGTAGACCAGTGGTAAACAAAAATAATACAAATATAATAGTGCGTAGGTAATAGGCTAAATTGTAGGATTTCTTTTTTAAAAATAGTAAAAAAAGAACTATTTTGGACTGTCACTTAGCTTTATTTTCAATTCAGATTTGAGGGAATTAGCTGTGGCAAAGCGACAGGCAGAACTAATAGATTTAAAATTGATGACCCTACTTAGCTTAAGGAGTTATTTTAGTTGCAAATTTTCTTATTTACAATATGAACCTAACATTTTTTAATCCCAAAAAACGAATAATAATAATAAGACCCATTTATTTTCTCCCACGAATGTTTCTAAGTATAAATCAGATATCTTAATGAGAGGCTTAAAGTAGATTTAAAAAAGCAGCTATACTAATATCTTGAATATCAATCACAGCCGTCTGATCCCAAATTAGACGGAGCTTGTGTTATGGTAACCAGACTACTGATGAAAAACTCTTTAAATATTTTAAAATAAGTACATATTAAAGACAAATTACACCCACACATATAATAAATGATCATGCTCATCAAGTAATATTCGTCCTGGGTGTGAACTGAACCCACGACCCCTGGTTTAGCAGTTAGAAACATTAACCACTACACCAACAGGCCAGTGAAATCATAAGTTCATTCAATACATACCTGTACAAAGTCTTTACGTCATTGTAGTCGAGCGTACCAGCTGTCTGCGATCCGCGGTCGATTAACAGGTCTATTAGCGCTCTCTCACTCTCACTCAAAGGCTACAGAAGGAGAAACACGTTAACATGCCAATTATAACTTACTGAACACGATTTATATAATAATTATTTTACAATGCAGATTACATTATTTTCTTACTATTATTTATTAAAAAAATACATAAAGAAGGCAGAGTAACAAATAAATATTTTTTTATTAATTTCAAATAAAAAAAAAAGAGTATAAGTTTCTTTCTGACCTTGCAATGCCTAAGTATATTAGAGTAAGTTCTCTGATCTAATCTCAAATGCTTGCATATTATTTTATCCCTAGTTTGAATTACATCCGATTCTGATTCCGAGAACACAAAAGATTATTTTGTTAAAGCAAAGCAAAGAAGAAACTTCGATATATTTGAACTAACGGACGCCCAATATCGTGAAAATCAGTCAGTCCATATGGCAATCGTTTGTTTATATGTTATACCTACTACATAAACTACAATAGAAAATTCTCAGTTCGTCCAATAGAGTAAATTTTACCTTGACGTCATCTTCGAGTACAAATCCGAGTTCAACCCTCCACCAGGGCTGCATTGGTATGTTCAGTGGAACCCGAGGCAAAAGTGCACGTATTGCTTTTGATCGACCTCTTCTTCCTAAAGAGCGGGCTTTCGGAACAAGCTCTAGGTATTCGTTACGACCAATGCCCAGTAACCTGAGACCTATAAAATAAGAAATTGATAAAAACATTTTTCACTAAACACAAACTTGACGTCCATCTCCAAAACTGTGACCGGGGTAGTAGTAGGTATTGAGCGGAGCTGTTAATTTTTTTATTTTATATTGATTACTTACAAAGGTTTTTATTTTACCGATTACTCATCATATTAATACTCAAAATCTGCCAGTGGTAAGTTATGATGAACGACAACATTTTTTTTCAGCATTTGTTGATAGCAAACGATTGCGATTTTAATCATAAATTATATCTGCTTTGGAAAATAGGCCCTCACTGAATATACTGCTGCCGGGAGATGATAAATAAATCTTAGCAAATCCTGTTAGGACTGATGCAGGTTTAAATCTGTGACCCGCGAAATTGTTACCGAATATTCGGCGCTTCGGCCAAGAAACTCGTCAAATATTCGGTATTCGGCCATATCACTAATCGTGGCATCTCTATAGTCCATCAACGTCGTGCGCGACCGTCCTGCGGGGTGACAGACGGTGGCGGGGACGAGGTACACAAGATGTCAGCGGGTAGCGGGTGGTGTAGCGGAGAAGGGAAACGCGTTAGCCGTGTGCTAGAATGACGCGCTACCTCGCCCCCGCCACTGTCTGTCACCCCGCGGGACGGTCGCGCACGAGATTGCCGGGTTATAGTATATGCCTAATTTGTGTTGTTGTTAAGGTTCATTTAGGTTTATAGTTAAATAAATATCTACATTTCTAAATACTATTTAGTAAGGGGCCACAATTGCTTTTGATCTGAATTTTATTTTCAAGATTTAAGCCTTTTTTAAAAAAATGGTATAATAATCACGATTGGAGGAGGTACAAACATTTTAAACTTCCGAATTCTATGATATACATATAATTATGAATACATACGAGAATTAATGCAATTACGTAGGTTTAGTAAACGTCAGTCGATTAGAAGTTCTGTAATACCTATTACGTGATTGCATTAATTCAGGTACATTACTAGGTCACGTTGTTTGGGTACATTCCCTAATCTTAACATTGTAAAATTCTTATTATGTTTAAATTGAAGACAGGCTTATTATAAAAGACTAAAACATGTTTTAAAGTTTGAATGCATAATAATTAATATGCAAACACTATCAATGTTTACCTACTATATCTACAATATACTTTGGCTTACTTTGTTCATTAAACAAAACATCAGGAAATATGCATATATTCAAAGGATATATATTTACATTATAATAGCACTGTAAGAAGCTAAACCTCACTAATATGCAACACAAATTAGTAAGTGAACTCATCATCTATTCTGTGAAAAAGTTTTGGAGTAGCATTGTTCCATGATTATAAATGTAAAATAACTATACAAAAGTATTATTATCAATCACATTAAATTTTGTTGCCTTTGCTCTTTTGTATTTATAATTAATAACTGAACACATTTAATGGTTTATGACAATTTTGATTTCATTACCTTTATCTATTATTATTTATAAAACAACTTTGTCATTCAATCGTTATTGCGTAAATCAAATCAATCAAAAAATCAATCATCAAATTAAAACAATTTAACTTAGTGAATTGAGAGTTATCTCATTTGATAATATTGACAATAATTTGATAACATTAATTGCATTTTAATTATAAAATGATTGCACACAAAATTTATTAGTGTATCTTTAACAAGAACATTAAATTGTGAGACACAACTTTTAAATCGAAACAATATTAAATACAATAAAAAAATATTTTAAAGTTTTTTGTGAAGTATTAATTTATTATAAGTTATTTACTTAAAAAATACTTACAATCAGCTGCCGTAAAATTAGGCATGGTGTCATAACTCTTCTCCAGCTCTATTAGCAGAGCTACTACCTCCACATAGTAGATGAATGGGGTTATCCTCAGACCTTCAAACATTTATACACAAGTGTTTTAAACATATTCATAAACATTGCAGTTAGTGTTCACCATATAAAGACAGATATGTTTGTATCTATTTAAAACTAGTACATACTTTAAAAGACAGATATATTGAGCCCTACAGTATTAGACCAGGAAAAGGAGTTGACTGGATAGGTGTCTAAAAAAAATGGAAATAAAAAGCTGTTGTAACTTAGTTGCAAAAAAGTGCCTTTTTAATACTGCTTTTTGCAAAAACTATGCAACGGACTACCTCGAAAAAAAAACACACATACTACAAATCCAGAGCCTATGATTTACCAAAGTTTGGTAAGCCTACAATTATATAAATATATAATGTATATATCAACATCCTTACCTTTAACTATCATATCAGCTAAGTGATAGGGGTACAGCATGAGCCTCTGTATACTGCTCTGCACAAGTGTATCATAATATTTCTTTTCATCTTTACAAACGGTCCTTACTAAATAATTAAAAGAAAGACATTTATTAAAACAAAACTGACAGTCAAAATAGCAAAAATTTATGAAATTAAACATTTAATTTGATATCTGGAACACTTGTATGATGCTAATATGAAAGTCTAAGCATGTTTACTGTTAAGAAAATTATGTGGCTGTTAAAAAAAATATAAGTAAATTAAAGTACATATAGAGCTATTACTATAAGTATGATCACATAATGGCACTTTTATTTGATTACCAAATCACTTAAAAGACCTGGCAAAATTTACTGCAAAATCTTATTTATTGTTGAATGATTGAAACTGAGTATTTTAAGTTACAACTCAAAAATAGTGTTTTATGTCAATTTTATGTTAAGAATACACTTAGTAATTATCTTTCAGAAATACTTACCAAGACTACCCCTGTATCTCAATTGATTTTTAATACTGAATTCAAATATATACCGCTCATATTCTTTGGGGGAGTTACCCAAAAGCTGAAATTATAAATATTTTGTGAATTCCAGATGCCATAACTAAACAGTTAATCAACAATAGTAGACAGGATGTCAACTATTCTCATTAGAAATATCTAAGTGCGACTGATATATTTTATCCTTCTCATAACATAGGATAATAACATCATCATAAGTTTACCTTTCTAACAGTTGCAGGTAACTGCAACCACAATGTCTTTTTTCTAATACATTCCTCAATTTCGTCTTCCATGGTACTTGACCATTTAATAACAATTAAATAATTACATTGATAGCTAGTAACTTATAAATGGCCTTGGATAAAATGAATAATCTGCAATGTGCACAAAATATTTTTGATAAGTAATAGAAAACACAGAACTACGTTCTGAATTTTGTTTTTAAAGTTCGGGAAATAGAAATGGTTGATTTACATTTATACTGCACAATTGATAAATTGTATAAGATAATAATTGTTGCAAAACGTAATATGAGATGAAGAAATAATAAATCACAATCTAATATAAATTTACATATTTCATAAAAATGTTATGAAAAGTTCTTAACTAAGAAATAGAATTATTAAAGTTTTTGAACGACTGAAAGTCTTGCAAAATAGACATAAAAATAGTTGCCACTATTCCAGTTATTTTTTAATTCCTATTCGATACTAAAATAATTATAATCAGTATACAATTGATCAAGAATACAGGGTGTCACCACCCCTATTCGTCCCGTGGGTGTCATAAGAGCCGACCAAGGGAGCAAATTGTGCAAAACAACAGCACTGCCACCACCAACCCATCTGGCCAGCATGGTATAGTAGGCGAAAACCTATGTCCAGCAGTGGTCTATTAAGGGCTGTTGATAATGATCCTATACTTATCGGTAGAAAAAGAGTTTTGTTTTTCGTTCATCATCATTAGTATCACGTGTCTTATTGCACGCCACTTCGATCAATATTCGGCTTCTCGTATCCAGCTCCTGCCGGCCATCTTACGCAAATCGTCACTCCACCTCTTACATAACAAATAATACCGGATTGCATAAGAAAGACGGCGATAAAGGGGAGAAGTGACATTGCTTAAGTCTATATATACCGTAATTTTCATTTTTTTTTAATTTGATTTAGTTTTGTAATTAGAAAATAAGCATTTTTTGAAGTTTAACGTCTTTCCCTTAGCATCTTTGCAATCTGTGTAAGTGATTTCGTGAAAAGGGATGGAAGTGTATTACAGGAAGCTGAGGAAGATGGAAATTTGATTTACTTAATGAACACGCGTTGCACTGAAATTGGATCATCAGACCGTATCACGAAATATCCTTTCAATCAATTATACCAATTATTTTTAAGACATTTAATGTTAATATTGGTTTTATTACTGAAATATGATCAGTTGTTCAATGTTACTGTTTATGATCGCTCTTTTTTTTTAATTGTATCAAAATTCCTGATATAATTTCAGGATATATTTGTGCCATAATGAACGAAAGGTCAAAGCAACATTAGACTTTACAAGAACTTAAACAACCAAAAGTTTAACAATTTCATTAATATTAAGTTTTAGGAAAGATAGGTCCGATTCTATTAATGAAGTGAGCAGGAGGAATAAACTTTCGATCTCACAACTGTCATAAAAGGTATTTTCGTAGTAAAGTATTAAACATCCAACGTTCAGTGTAATATGATTATATCGTATTGTAACCAAAAATATGCTAGTCTTAGTAATACTTTACTATTTTCCTACAAAAATACCTTTTATGACATTTGTGAGATCGGAAGTTGATCGGAACCGAATTTGGATATACTATTAAGATCAATCATATTATGTGATTTAATAAAATAAAACATTTTAATTTAATTCATGATTTTAATAAATGATAATAATGATGTTTCTTTAAGGTCCAAAGAAAATTACTTCAAAGGCTGGGTGTATCTGTTTTATCATGTCAGAAGCAATCATATTTCGGCCCTCTATCATATAAGCTTTATTGTTACTTAGTCTTGTTAATTTTGCAGCAGCATATGATGCTACGCTCTGCGCTAATTGTGTGTTATTTTCATTCTTACAAAACTCTGTCTTTAAAGCCCAGCTATAAAATGTACCTAATGCACCGGATAATATATCTCCTTGACCAGCAGCGCGACGTCCCGATCCTCCTCCCGTTGCCGCCCAAATGTATGAAGACGCGTTTGAATAAAAATAATCTTTTTCACCTTTAACCAAAACAGAAACACATTCTCCCCAGTAAGTATACCAGTTACTGGAATTACTTGAAACAGATTCCATAAGCCTTTTTGCTTCACGTTGATTTGGAGTCATTATAACCCCTGGGCAAGGATAATCTTTTAATACAGATGAATTCCTTGAGATAGCGAAAAGCCCATCAGCATCAATAATCAACGGCTTACCCATTCTCTTACAGTCTTCTATTATTTCATATACAAGATTCACTGTATCATTTTCACGCCCTATTCCAGGTCCTATAATAACCATATGCATTTTAGGTAATAATGATCTTATTTTGGATGCTGATTTAGTATTGAGAAATGGATAAACTATAAGATCAGGACTGTAAGCTTTAATTACTGGTGATGCACTTTCAGTCGTTATAACATACACCATATCTGCCCCAGCCTGAAATTAAATAGAACAAAAAACTTTATTTCTGATAAGAATGTAGAACTCGAATTTTATATGCAGTAATAAAAACATTGCGATTGCTGTAATCATGAAAGTACACACCTTCAATGCTGTTATCGCTGCAAAATACGGAGCTCCTGTATATTCTGTTGACCCACCAATAATACCGATTTTACCAGCATCACCTTTGGTTTTTCCTTCCAATGGAGGAGCTATTGTTTTACTAAGAAGTCTGAATGTGTTTGGTTGCAGTTTACTATCGATAAAATTACACTTATCTTCTATTTGTATTTGTGGCAGCTCTTCACAATACACATTAAAAATTATTATAGACATAACATAATACGTTAAATAAGATATCATTGCGTATATCATTTTTTCCTTGTTCTCTCTAAAGTTTATTATATTTCGCTTTTGTACTATCACAACTACAGTTTCTAGCAATATGTTGTAAGACCCGTGTCGTAAATCACGTCAAACTTGTTGTGATTAGGCTGAAGGTCAAAGGCCAATGGATTTTTAATTACCTTTAATCTTTCTTCTGTAACATTAGGTAACAAAACTACGAATTTTGTATCCTTAAGTACTGCAGATTATTGATCAATTCTTCAAAGATTTCATTTTTCTCTTTTAATTTGTGTAATTGTAAAAATGTCTATTCAATATATATATATTTATTTATTTAATTAAATCGACTGAAATAGACTATGTGCGATAAAAGTCAACTGTGTTATGAAATAAAATCTGGCAACATTGACAGAATATGTCAAAAATAATCAGCCGTAGTTCTGAAATAATAACAGAACAGAAATCATAGCGCAGCTATTTTGGTATTAAATTACTTCAAAATGGATGAGAAATATGAAACAGTAAAACTTTGTTACACAATACATAAATATTCAAGTTATTCTGCTAATTATATACCCGAGTACGTATACTTTTATGGTTTTATGTATATTTTTGCATTGTTGTTCATTAAAAATCCCGGTGTGTTATTTTTAATTTTGCGTGCTAATTTTTTCTGCACTTGAACATGTAAATTTATTTCATATGAAGAATATTTTTAAAGAATGTAGTCACGGTGTTAGTCATATAAGAATAGACAGATATGTAATTAAATCCAAGAAGGACAACTACTAGGAATTTCTCAGGGTACAGGCATTCATCAGTTGTTTCCACTGCCTGCCTGTCTTTATAATAATAATAGATAGCATGTTTTTTATATAAATCAATGGTTGCTATTTTCAGGAATATCATGGTAAATAATCCTTACGACCAGCTTTCAAGATGGTTCATAGATAGCACTACACCATCACAATTCATCATGTTAAAATTAAAAACCCCATCTATAGTGGAAAGTATCAAATTTGGGAAGTACATAAAGGCTCATGTTAGTGACTTGAAGAAATTCCAAATTTTTGGAGGCACCGATGAAAATAACTTGTCACTATTATTATCAGCGTGAGTACAAGATATATCTAAAATAAATCTTTAAAGTTAAATGCAAATAAACATTGTTTTTAAATAAAATGGTTAAATAATAATGTACATGACAATAACTCATAATGTCACATTAAAATATATTTCATATTATTTTGTGTATGCAGTCGTAGTTTATATAGTGAACATTAACTCAAGAAACATTATTAAGAACATTATTAACAAAAAAATAATGTAACTTTCACAATATTTTCTTGTTATTGTTCAACATTTTATTTTCTGAACAATAATTTGTCAATTACCTATAATTTATTAATTTTAGAGTAACTAAGTAATGAATAATATTTATGGATAACGATAAAATAGCCACATCAGAATTAGACAGTTTAATTTTAGACCAAAAGATAGACATTGTCCTTATACAAGAACAATATCAAAGCGCTCGGTAACATCTTCACACTGCGCCGATGCTGAGATCACATACTCTCCCTGTAGGGTTTACGTAGTGAGCTGCTATTTTCAAAATTCAAATCCTGTTGATCCTTACCTACTTCACGTATGTTACGTCTTTCAGTCCCTCGTGGGACATAAAGTTATCATTGCTGCTGATGTCAATGCATCATCGACATTATAGTATGGCAAGTTGCGTTCAACCGATACGGTTCGACGTTGTGCGGTTGAAGATTTCATTTCGGAAATGAATCTTACTATTCACAATACCCCCGATGGACCACCAACTTTTTGCAACCCAATGGGTGAGTCTTCTATTGACGTGATGCTTACGCGACGTCCCGATATCCGGATGGCGAGTCCTCCCGGACGCATCCTGTAGTGATCACCGCATGATCGTGTACGATTCATACTAAGGGTTGCACAGTATCCAGAAAGAGCCCCCTATAATTTTAGATATACACGGTGATTTTGAAAGCGTTTTGGAAAAGACAATTTTGAATTATTTATCAATAACAGAAGCTATATATAACGTTAATTTAATAAAATATATTTTTTTTTTCATCAAACTCGATATTCATATCGTTTACAGAGAAAAAGTGAGAACCAGTAGTAGGGCTATTCAATCACACGTAGGTAAATACTACAAATAGAAATACTATGCGTTTTAATATCGAGTCACAGATGTGGAGTACTTGGCAATGGTACAGCTCTACGCTACTGCCAACTACAACTTAGAAGAGGCTCGGCGTTTGTATTCCCAGCCGGAGCATTTAAATGCACTACGGCTACATGGAATTGAAAGCCCTCAAATTCCCTCCACACCTACCATCTTGGCTGCAACCCAACGTCTTCTCGACCACGGACAATTTGGACAATGAGTTTAGTGGTGGATAGGTCGAGGAGGGCCTGTGCCTTGGCCACCTAGAAACCCGGACTTAACGCCCCTGGATTTTTTCTTATGGTCGGAAATAAAAATACTTGTTTATACACGGGAATATGAAAGCCGTGATGATTTACGCATTGCAATAATGGACGCTTTTGATAAAGTGAAAAGTGATAGAGACACATTAAGAAAATTAAAAAACAATTGCATTAAACGTGGACGTTTGTGTATTGAACGCAGCGGACTCCATTTTGAGCAGTTGCTTCGATACAGAGAAGTGTAAATAGTGTAAATAAATAGGTATGTAAGTTAATTATTCTGTAGATAGCTCCGATTTTTAAATACGCCTGAAATATTTATACCTACAGTCCGTTGATAAATTGATTTGTTGTGAAAAGAACAATCGTGGTTAATAATCGAAAAGAAGTTTAAATAAAATAGGTATTTCCGGCGGTCCTACGCCCGTGTAAAGTATGAAGGACAAACTGGAGTCTATCTACGCAAGTACTCGCTAGCTCGCGCCTATAGGTATACTTTTATCAGCTGCTGTTAGCATCAGCGGTGCGCAGCGGCCGCCGAAACGCGCACGGACGTGTTTCATTCATATAAGATAATGAATGAATAATCAGTCCATTACTACTTTCCAAGTCGATCGAGTAAAAATGCTTATAAAATCACCGTGTATAAGTAAAGGTGCGAACTAGGCTTTGTTTAGTTCACTCTTTTCAACTCATGCCAAAGAGTTCAGTCCAGTCAGACATACAGGTGCACCATAGTGCACCTATCGGCCAATACAGGCGCTGTCCGTCGCAAACTGCTACAAGGTCCACGACTTTCACTGATGTTCTCGTGCAAGGCATATAGGACGGTTAGCACTGAGGCTTTGCCGGTGTTGGCGGGTGTGCTTCCGGTCGATCTCGAAGTGCAGAGACGTGAAGCACCTCGAACGACCGACGAATGGCAACAACGCTGGGACGAATCATCTAAGGGCTCTCACCTTTACCAGTTCTTTCCATCTGTTCGCGAACGGTTGTAGAGGACATGGCTTGAGGTGGATCATGGTGTCGCTTAATTTCTTACAGGTCATGCTAACTTTAAGACCAAACTGTATTCATTTAAATTAGTCGAGTCACATTTGTGTCAATGCTCAACACCTAACTCTAACTGTGAACAATCTGCTCATCAAATCCGCTGGGAATGTAGTCTTTGGTATAATGAACGAAATAAAGTGTTAAATAGCTTGCAGGTGACATCTGGGCGGTATATTATGGGGATCTAGTGTCAACTAGGGTGAATTTCCGTTTAGGCGATTCTGACATACATATTATAGAAATCAAATATAGCTCACTTAGGACCCATAATATTTTGTAGACGTAGTGCTTCCCTGTTTAAAAGGGTGTATGCCTATTTTACTTCATTTTATCTCCCGCTTTGCCAAGGAGGGAAGTGGATTTACTGTATTTCCAACTCCTCCAATTTTCTTCTGATTAATTTCGTTGTGAGTTTAATTTTTTTCCTGGGTCTTCCCGAGTGTCATAACTCGGTGTGTTCGTGGGTCACTGCTTTTGGCGTGTGGGAGGGATTAGTCCCATTAAAAAAAAGGCCATTTGAAAAAATATTTAGTTGTATATAGTACTACTAGTATAATAATATATAGAAGTTAGTATAGTATATAGTTTTATAATTATTATACGCGTCAGTATTACAATTCTAATTTACATAAACGTTTAAATCTTATTTTTTTATTATAATATGTAATATTTTAATATAGATGTAGACACAAATTGAAATTACTATATCAAAGCCATGAGCTTGGTAACTCCCTAAACAAAAAAATTTGAATGTAGATCGAACCTGAGAAATAGATTCGATGTGATGAATAGTTTGTCAAAGCTAAACTCCATAACTCGACTAGGGAGCGTAAAATGTTCCTGAAACTTCCCCTCTGTCATCTTGGAAATTGATTGGAGTTGTCTTGAAAATGTTCGAAGTGTACAATATTTTAATGCAATAATATAATATTTTTTTACATCTGACACATGACGCCATCTAGTTTCAAACTAAGCAGAGCTTGTACTATGAATACTAGATTGTCTGATAGAATATCAACACATATACTTTTTTTTGTAAATACATTCGTATTATACATAGAAAACACCCAAAATACAAAACAAATATTTGCAGATCATACAAACATTTGGTCCAACCCGCTAAAATAATACATAGGTATGTTTTAATAATCCAGATAAAACACATGAAAATAATATAATTGTGACTTATGATAAAAAATATTATGCACACTTATCCCTTTCCACTTAACTAACTAGAGACAAAACTTTTAATTGCTATTCATCACAAAAAATAATGCCGTAATACTTTGAGAATTTTTACTCTCGGCATGTAGTTAGATAACGTCTAATTTAAGTGTGACATTTCTAATTTGTCAGTATTTGACATTCAGAACGTATAGCAGAATAACAAATGACCAATTATTGACTAAATTAAGTAACTTAACTAAAACTAATTTTGGTTGTGTCAAACTAAATATAGCTAAGTCCTACGTTTTAGGAATACGACACATCGTTTAAAGGACTATATTATTTTTTTTTGTGATTTTTATTTAAGTTTAGTGAGCTTTCGAACAACAGAATTGAACAATGACTGAAACAAATATGATTTAATAAATAAATGGCGACTACTCCTAGTCAAATAATTTATTCGCACCGCAGAGTGGCTGACTTTATTCTTCAATAAGTTGTTGGATGAAGAGGTAATCCCAAAGTAATTGTCAAAGTCAATGGTGTTTGTGGACCGAGGTCCAAAGGCATATGATAGGATACCCTGAGAGGTTTTGTGTTGGGCTTTGAAATAAGAAAGAGTGTTTGTTAAGTATGTAGCATTGATCGTGCTGTGTACACACTCATGTAAGGTCGCTCTTGGAAAACACTTATCAATTCAGTGTCTCTGTAGGCTTGCACCAGGGATTTGCAATGAGCCCATACTTCATCCTGCCGATAATAGATGCTCTGACATCGGACATACATGCATACGGTGCATACTGTTACCCCCGTCTTTACGGACCAACACAATATCCTCTACATTGTGTTGGTCCATGAAGACGGGGGTGAGATCCAGAGCAGACTGGAAAAATGTCAACAAAGGCTGACGAAATAAAAAGGTTGGTTCGAAAATCATCGCTGTCATCGCTGGATGGGATAGCGATCACAGTCTGCTCACAATTTCAAGTTCCTCTTACAATGTGATCGCGAGATCGATAAACTAACTGTACAGCATCGAATCAATACGGGATGGATGAAGAGGCGGCAGGTAACGGGAACAATTTGTGACCCCAGTTTACATTTGAATCTAAAAGGACAAGTATATAAAATACAAAACCGACCTACCGTCCTGTATGATTCTGAAAGTTGGCCTATTGAGGGAACGGATGAGAGACGCCTGAACGTAGCCGAAATGCGAATGCTGAGATAGATGTGTGATGTGACTCGGTTAGACAAGGTCACGAATGATTATATATGGGAGAGTCTGAAAGTAGCGTCACTGGATGGAAAGTTAAGAAGAAATAAGTTATCTTGGTATAGACGTGTCATGCGTGAAGCTTGAAATGATGAGTGATAGAGGAGAATGGAAGCATTAAACATAACGCCGATCCCAAATAAAATTTGGATAAGGGTAGGCTTGATGATGATGATGAAAGCTTACTTATACCAATCAAGTTTAAATAAAACTATTATTAAAGTAAGGTTTATTTAGTAAGTAGAGTTTTTGTTTTATGTCATTGGCCAGTAACTTTGAATATTCTGAGATTGAACCTTAAATTCTTTCATATTTCAAAATACAACGTAGAATCTAACTCAGTGTTTTTGCGATGTATATTATATTTTACGATGTCACTTTAATATTTATTATAATTCAAAAATCTCTGCAACATTGCAATAGAACAATAATGTAGTTTACGTGTAGTATGAATTTCCAGGAATAAGTAATTCCTTTACCCAAACACGGATTTTAATTAGCTCTCAGGCGCGGGCGCATTGTTTACCTCACCCGCTAACTCCGCACCCCGCGTCTCTTAGCTTTTCGCAAATTCCTCCCATTGCAAGTAGGTCAGTAGTCCTTTTATTTCGAAACGGATAGGACGTTTGATCAATCCGCGTGTCTTGTCGTGGTCTTTCGCGCGTGGTATTTAAAAAAAGTGGTGTGTGTCTATGACGAAGTGAAAAGGTACATTAATAAAAACATAATTTATTTAAATGTGCAAGATTGTGTATTGAAGTGCTTTAATACCGTTAGTTTAAAATTAATAATTATTGTGGTAAGTAATTTAATTATTTTACATAAGAGTATTGTATTTTTTAAAAGCCTTAAACAACTAGGTAATAATGCCTTCTAAGTGTTTTGGTAAAGTAGTAATAAATAATTACTATTTGTAGTTAATAATTACTATAAAAGGTATAATAAATAATTACATTTAGCATGCGGATATGCATTATTATTCATGGATACAAAATCAAATATATCTCCATCCTTTAATATATTTATCGCTTATATACATAATTTCTTCTAAGCTAGATTGATACTTCGCTTTATATATTTGCTGAATCTCTTTTCTTTCGAATACTTAACACACCTTGAACACCCACACACGCCAAATACATTGAAAAAATTATATGAAAACACGTATATGGTGAATATACATATAATTAATGTTGTTTTTAATAAGTAATAAGCTTAGACAGAAAAGATTTTATTCAAAATTCATGCAATTTTTGTACAATTTATTATATATTTAAATTTCTTCTGTGTCAATTTTAAACCTTCACTTCAAGTGTACAGACAGAAGAGTCTATCCTAGTCGTCTGGGAGTGACCGCAGACTGCGATAAGACCGCCTATTGTTCTATTTCTTAAAATATCTTTTAGGCTTTTTTTGTGTGCAATAAAGAGTTCCAATGTGCTGCTATTAACTTGGCTTCCAAAATATAATAGCTCTAAATCCACTACATTGTCTGATGATGTCTTTTTTTAGTTTTAAAGACAATGGTACACAATCCTTGTTACTACTCTTACAAAAGCAGGTAGGCAAAATCTGCTCAATACTTTGCAGAGTTTTTGACATGCGTTTTACGTTTGTTATTATTATTAATTTTAGGGTAGCCCAATGGCTTAAGCATAGGCTTTGCACGCCACAAAGTTTAGTTAAAATTATGGTCACATAATTCGTCACTTTTTGATTTTAATATGTATACGAGCAGTAAAAAAGTATTTTAATGAAAGGGTTTCAAACTATATATATATATATATATAGCTGTTTGTAACATGATCTTCTGGTATAGGAGCTAGCAACGTTTTCGAGAAAGAATTTTAGGTCAGCTGATTTTGTGATATGTCGTCCTTCTTGCACTTTCGGTTAGACTCTGGGCTATCTGGCTGGCGGTAGCGGTTGCGTTCATTAGTGCGCATCCTACCTGTCCAGGTAATAATCCTGTACAGAAAAAAAATAAACAGTGTAATTCTTCTAGTTCGTTATAAAACATTTTATTTATTAGGTACTTACTTAGTACACTGTTTATTTTTTTTTCTGTTGCAGATGATAGAGTTTTAGAAGATAACGAAAGTTCCCTAGAAGATGATATGAATGACACTGACAAAGACAGCGACGATGATGATGATGACCCTTTTTTTTTTGTGACGTCAATATAGTTTATTATTATTATTATTTTTATTATATGCACAGTGAAAAGTAATTTACTTTCGTAATGGTTCTCTGTATCATTCTCGACTTATTCTGCAACTATCTCTCTCGGACTACTAGCATTATTCTGCAATACTTTTCATGACTTTTTAATTTTAATTCAAGACTTAACAATCGAATTAATGTCTGGCAAATTTATTTTAAGTTTTTCTTATCTTTAAATAACATAATATTAAAATTACAGACATTATAAAATACTTTGAAATTTTTATAAAACAAAAAGAAAAAATCGCGTATGGCACATAGTTAGCATTGTCAAAAATGTCTGGCAATAAAAAAAGTATGTCAGGTAGACTTATTTAAAAACAAAAAATTAAAAATTACGCCTTCTAAAATGTTTTTAAAATACAGGATTATTACCTGGACAGGTAGGATGCGCACTAATGAACGCAACCGCTACCGCCAGCCAGATAGCCCAGAGTCTAACCGAAAGTGCAAGAAGGACGACATATCACAAAATCAGCTGACCTAAAATTCTTACTTTCCAAACGTTGCTAGCTCTCGTACTATTCAGACCTCTTGTCCTTATCCGTATAATCACTTATGTTGGCAACTTACTTTTTTTACATAGATTTATATAAAATAGATATACTATTTATTCCCGGAAATCTACATTAAATAGAAATAGGAAATAGGAATATAATATTAATGAGTTTTGTAGAAAAATAGTCTAATCATTTACTTCTTATATTTATGAAAAGTAAATTATGTCAATCAACGCTAAAGTAATAGTATTGATAATTTCGAAATTAGTGTCGTTTATAACAAACACTTTTCCCTAACTGTCATTACCATTTAGTAACTAAGTAATTATATCTAAATATGTTTGGTTTTCTAAAGACCTGCTCTCTAATTGTTGTATTCTATAGCTCTATGGAGAGGACGATTATCATTTCTCGGTAAACTATTTGGGAGGTACTTAGGTAACATACGTGACACATTAGATAAAGCTAAGTAAGTTTCAAAATCAAGGAGAGAAATTGTTATATTAGGTTACACCAACCCTAATACCTCTAAAAGAATAAATCCCGGTAATGTCTACGTTAATATTAACCCGCCGCTGGTCGATCCACTCGACTCTATCTATTTGACTTTTTCTGTGATTTGGAAGATACTTTAATTTAGCTAGATAAACGTTGTCTTCATATTATATTTAACTGGTCTATACAGGAGATGTCGATGCGTGACATAACAATGAATATGATAAATTTCTACTATCATTACTTTAATTACTTTTACAACTAATACATAGTAGTTAGAGTAATTAGTACCATTAGTCACACTTAAAATATATACTATAATTTTTTAACAATTTATCTTCAATTCTACTTTTATGAACATCTCAATATAAAGTATTCATACTATAGATATTGCGCTACATCAACGTGTTATAGAAATTCTGCTTCGTTATAGAACATGTTACAGGTGTTTATATTTTGAGGTCTTACCTATTACCCGCTGAATAGCACGTTGAAATTAATTGATCGGTAAAACTAATATTTCTTAAGAATGAGTCAAACATAAATCAAGATTTTAATAAGCTAAATGCTCCTAAAATTGTATGTATAGGTTCGGAACCTTTACAGATAATACAATTTATTAGCTTCATAATATTTATAAAAATATTTTTTATTTCAGTGGTCTAAAAAAAGATAGTGCACCAGAAACCTTTAGACTTCGTCACAAAACAGTAGAAGGCCTATACCTACCAGTGCAGTACATCAAAATTGTCCCGCTGCAATCGTGGGGTCCTGCGTACACAATTTGGTATGTGGAATTACAGGGGAAGAACCACGAAGATTTAATTAATTACGCAATGGAAACTATTAATTTGGTAAGTATATTTTTATATCAGGAAAAAACACATCGCTGTTTAAAAATGTCGGTAAATCAATGTTATTTAATAATGTTCTCCACAGCGTAAAGAAGAAGAAGCCATACGCATGGTGTTAAAACACTTGCGTAGACGCCGTTACATAGATGCGTTCGAAGCCTTGTCCCGAGAAAGCGGCGTAATATTAGAAGGACCTTTACAAACAAGATTGTGGAACGCGCTTGTTGAAAACGGGGATTATAAATTAGCAGAAGAGATTTTTGATGAAGGGGTTGCAGGTGAGTCGTATTAACTTATAAAAATTAAATCTAGAAGTAGACTGAGATAACAAAAGTTAGTTAATATTTATTTATATAAAGTCATTATTGTACATAATGTGGAAGATCCAAGTCAAATGCTATTTACAGATTACGAAAAAGTTGTAAGTTGAATATGTGTGTATTTTAATGAAAGGATCTCCTCTCCTTTTTAATATAATAATGTATGTACAATACATATATAAATATTATGCATTATTATCATCAAATATTTGAAAAAAGTGTAGCAGACACTTCTTTAAGAAATGATAACATATAACAAACGTGCTTTTTATTATAGAGGGTGAACTGGACTGGTACATGTCATGGCAGCCGTATACACCATCGTGGCGACAAATGTCTGCATGTTCCTCACAAGTCGAAGACAGACTGTGGAGTGGAGACTCCCCGCCCCCGCCGCCGGCCAGGGAACACGATCTACTCTGTACTGACAGGGATCCCAGACCTGATACGTCGGTGAGTAAAAACTACTGTAGTTCTATGATCTAACTAAATAAAATATATATTGTTTAGATAAGACTAGTAACGGCCGCAACTTTCCGCCATCGTTCCAAACGCCAAAATTTTCATCCCCATCACCTGGATAATGTGCGCTCTAACATTGTGCGTATAAATAGGCTGCCATGATTTACTGAAACCTAAATTTCATTATGAACATTAATATGACGAAATAAATTTTGTAATTCACTTGTTTACGCCCATTGAACGTGGATATTTTCGAATCTATGTGTATATCTATGACATATACACATAGATAAATGAGATTACCGGAGCCCCCTCCCCCACTTAAGACTCTATTGACTTGCCGGTATCAATGGCCGACGGTAGTCATATACAATCAGGTGCACCGTCTCCTCGTTTGCTTCTTATGCCATAAAAACATTCTATATGTGGTAGTTTTCTTTGGATCTGAGAGAATATCAAGTGAGGTTAGAACAGAACCAAAACAAATTCTATTTCTTACTTGATAACAATGTGTGAGAGTGAACGTCTGCTAACTCATGCATCGTATCAGTATTATCGCAAAAGAACATTCAATACTTGCTATTTTTTTACAATTTGCCGTCAAATGTTTTAGGGACGCTCAAGCCATAGTATATATACTAACGGTGTGAGTTTAAAGCGTGTTGCGTCGCAGGAGGCCCCCGTCAGCAGCGCCGAGATCGACGAGCATTCAGGGGCCAGCTGCGGCACTCCGGGACCCCGCGGCGGGCACCAGCTCTTTGTGGATTCCACAACAGGTAAGAAACATTTAAAATATTCTTACATTTTATCTTTTAAAGGTTTTTCTAGATTTATATTTGTTGTTGTTTATGCGATTCAGATGACAAACAATTATAAGGTCTTTGCAGTTGTTACTGAACAAAATGATCAAAAAAACTTGCAAGAAAGAGCGTACTCCTTCCTAAAAGGCTGGCTACGCGTTTGTGACTCCTGAGTTGCAGACGGTTATGGGCGGCGATGGTCACTTTCCATCAGGTGAACCGTCTGCCACCTCTAACATAAAAAAAAGAAACGAATGCTACAATAAGAACTCAAAGCCATTCTGTTTCTTCCTGTCTTCCTCTTTTCTCGCTCTCTCTCTAATTTGTTGATATTAATTATGGTTCAATATAATTTCTATAGGGACACTATACTTATTCGGCGGTTGGAACGGCACAGAAGACCTGGATGACCTGTGGTCGTTCTGTACGCGCACGGAGCGCTGGACGCTCCTGTGCCGCCACAGTGTGTTGGAGGGCGGACCTTCTCCGCGCTCCTGCCACAAGTGTGTGTTTGATCCGGTGCATAGGCGACTCTATACACTGGGCAGGTAATGCACTGTTACTGAGCTAACACATTTATTTATCATTTTATGCACATATTAATTAATGCTGAAAGCATTTTCTGGAAGTCTGTCTGTGGGTGTTGAAGACGTGAATCAGTGTGGGTGCTTTAAAAATTTTACGAGAGTGTTATGTGTGGAATAGAATGCATATGCATTTTAAACAGAATGTGTTATTATTAGAAATCCGTTCGACAGAGATGTCGATTTGAATATGGTTACTTATGTTGTACGACAAAATAAGCTATATAGAAACTAGTGTGAATTTACAAAATTGCTTTTTGCGTGTACAAAAACAAAGATTTAATTATAAAAAATGGCTTTTAGCGCTTGGATCTTTAGAATTTTAGGTTATTTGTAGTAGTGTAGTAGGAAAGTGTGGTTAAAAAAAAAATTACCATGGTTTCAGGTACCTAGACAACGCACAACGGGTTGCCAGTAATATGATGGTAAGCATTTAAAAACAGTATACTTAGTACAATGGAAAATAAAAAGAACTAATAGTATTAAATAATAACAATTGAATTAATTAAAAGTATTTTTTACCACATTTAATGACATACTCATTTATTTAACATAGAACTGACCATTAATTTAAATATATTTACCAACTTTCCGTCTGTCCGTGTCTTGGCGGATTAAGAATACAGAGTGTCACCACCCCTATTCATCCCGTGGATGTAGTAAGAGCCGATTAAGGGAGCCTAGTATGTAGGAAAACTGCACTGCAAAGAGAAGGTAAACTTGAACCTTTACCAACCCGTCTGGCTAGCGTTACATAGTAGGCTAAAACCTCCTTTTTAAGGAGAGTCCTATGTCCACCAGTGGACTAGTAAACGATATTGATGAAATTTAAAAACGACAGAAAATTCAATACTATTGGGATAAATGTCTATTTATAATTTAAAGTACTAATATTAATAAGTTAAACCTGTCGAAATCTAAAGGTTGATTTTATCAATAAACGTAGTTCTATAGACTTGTGTTCCCACAAGTATTTGCAACAATAATAAATAATGCTTCGAAATCTTTAATTGAGTGTTATTAGGACCAAAATTTATAGTGAAAGCGTTTTCTTTCTTCTCCTTCAAATACGGCTTTAAAAAAACATATTTGTTATTTTTATGAAATTCGCAGAATTTTTATTTTTCAATTTGTCTAAAATACATATTTTGTTTACAAACAGAGCGATTTGTACATGTACGACGTAGTGACGTGTGAGTGGTCGCTGTTGTGCAGCGACACGGCGTCGGTGGGCGGCCCCCGGCTCGTGTTCGACCACCAGATGTGCATCGACCCTGACACGCAGACGATCTATGTTTTCGGTGGCAGAGTGCTACCGGTTAATACGTGAGTATATAATCTTTGATACACAATTTTCTATTTATTCAAGCGCTGTGAAAATATAACATGTGTTTCACAGTACTAATTCACGATGTACGACCGGCACATAAGAGCCGGCTGGACGGGAATGATACCACGGCCTAACATAATATCTGTGTTACGCAATTCTTTTATTACTTTTCACCCAGTAACTGAGGTTACCGGAAACCCTAACCCTTAAATACCATAAAAGAAACCCACATCGCAACATTACATATCATTATGTATGCCATATACTAACTGTTAGCCATACAAGTTACGTTAATTATTGGTATGAATTAATTTATTTTTTGTTTCTTTACAGCGACGAAGTAGTGATTCCGCAGTACTCGGGACTATACGCGTACCACATAACGACGAACACGTGGCAGCTGCTACTGCCCGACAATCACAAGCTGAACGCTCCACAGCCGCGCGTCTCACACTCCATGCTGTTCCACCCTGTAGGTACCATTGCCAGCTTGCCTTTGTATATACCAGTTGCTTTATGTTTTGTGTAAAATAATAACATAACTAATAACTCTTGATGTTTAGTATTTAGTGTTATCTTTATTAATTGTTTTAAAAACTACTGAGTATAGTTATTTGAATCTGTCACTTTTCTTGATATATAATTATTTATACGTGATCAATTTTACATTAATTTATTCTTTTCCAATATAAACTACAGAGTAAACTAAAACACCTATCCCTAGCTGTGAAACATTTACCGTCAACCACAAAACAAGGGCGCGTTAGTTGGTTACGTTGAATAGATATTAATCTATGCCTGCCCAAAATGAAGTTCGAAGAAAAGTGATCACTGAAATATTTGTTGTTTATTAATTTTTTCAATTGGACTGCGACAGCCCAATAACTTTTGACATAACGAAATCTGTCCGGGTAACCATTTACAAATAGAAAACTAACTCCTATCTAGTATCACCAAAAAGTTCGAAAACAAGTTTTTAAAAAAAAGCGTTGTGTTGTCAGGTCCAACGGCGCCTGTATATATTCGCGGGCCAGCGGCACAAGGCGCAGTTGGTGGACCTGTGGTGGTGGGACGTGGGGTCGGGCGCGTGTAAGGCCATGTGCCGCGGTGCTGTGGCGCCGCCGCCCGCCGCGGGGTTCACGCAGCGCGCCACCATAGACCCCGACACGGACGAAATATTTGTTCTCTCGGTGAGTATGATATAGGCCTTTCGTAACAGATGGGACTCGGAGTAGACACTTCATAATAGTGACCCGCCACCTAATAGTGATCTGACACGTACGGTGGTAGTTGGTATCGTGGAGTTTTAATGATAAACCATAGATTGGCATTAATCGACTACACGATGTTCTAGTCTTTCATAATCGAGTTTGGTCAAAATTTGCCTAGCACGTTAATGTTGATTAAGTTTCAACTGCTAAGCTAAAAGTCGTGGGTTCGATTCCCACTCAGGACAAATAATGAATGATAAAAACGATCATTTGCTATGTGTGTAACTTATCTATAATATGCATGTGTTTAGCGATGGATGTTTATAGGCGATCTGGTTATCATAGTATAGGTTCTGTTAAAATTAGGATTTGACGGTCGCGTATGACACGTGTCAAGGTATAATTTATTTATATTATTTTCTCTGCTAAGGAGATTTTTAATCTTGACAACCAAATATTTTCTAGGGTATGAGTAAAGAAAGCGACAAACGCGTATATAACACTCTGTGGGTGTTCTCTTTGCGTCGATTGACGTGGACGGGCATCTACCGCAACGACAGCGTGGCGCCTTCGGAGCCGCGCCCGAGGTTCGCTCATCAACTGGTGTACGACCCGGCCACTAAGGTACGCATCAGTTTTAAGGGGTAAATCTATAACTTAAAAAGTCGTCAGCACCTTACGTATTTTTAAAATTTTAGATTCATTACCTGTTCGGCGGCAACCCCGGCATCCAGTCGTGCCCGCGCGTGCGGCTGGACGACCTGTGGGCGCTGCGCCTGGCGCGCGGGGGGGCGGGCGGCGTGGCGCGGGCGGCGCGCGCGGCGCTGCGCGTGGCGCGCTACCGCGAGCTGGCCGCGCGCGCGCGCCGGGACCCCGCGCACGCCGCCGCCGCGCAGGCGCTGCACTACCTGCGCAACGACTTGCACGAAGTGCTCGATCACTCAGATCCTGTGCAGGTACGTTTGGACACCGTTAGAAGGCTCTTAAAAACTGAATATCGTACGATCTAAGTAGTAACTTTTTTCATTAAAACGTATGTGCATATATATATATAACTCCCGCATTAGTAATGTATCCTGTGTCGCGGGGGACTTTACAAATATATGTGAAACGGACGCAAAGAACACCCCCAGACTCAGAACAACAATTTATGGATCACACAGTACACATCATGTGGTGTTGTGTTGAACCGACAACACTCAGCGTAGGAGAAAGCGACATGACGACCGCTTAAATCACTACGCCATCCGTGCAGTCAACCACATATATTTACCTTTTCCTTCAAGATGAAGGCAAAACCAATTCGCATGCTTAATTATTGTCATTCTCACGAAACAGGTGTCGAGATTCCAAAAGCTGGCCACGGAGCTGTTCGCGAGCCCGGAGCCGCAGAAGGCGTCGGCGCGCGCGCTGAGCCCGCGGCGCGCACGCGCACTGGCGCGGCGCTACCACACGCTGCCCGAGCCCGGCGACCTGGCCTACGCGCTCGCAACGGTCAGTGCTTTACCTTCACCACACCCTTCATTTATTTTTACGAGTACATAATTATTATTCAAAATATGCCTGTGGCCGAGAATCTTAAATTTTACGCAACTAATAATTCCTCCTGATATACCTTCAGTCTAAACCAGATCCAACCCTACGATATACTGAGCACTCAAAAATTTTACGCCATTATTGATCAACCCATTTAGCTACGACATCACGACCGACTATGAACCATCTTGTTTATCGTTTCATCATCATAAAGTTAAACACACATTAATTACACATTCGGCTGCTTTCGGAAAACAGTTTTCACTTATATACGCTAACAATAACTGTACTGTGTACGTTTTACGTTTTACGTTTTGACTCAACCTGTTAATAATACATACCTAAGCCCTCTTGGTCCTTCGAACCTGAGACTGTTAAATGAATCAAATTTTATTTTTCTGTTATTAGGTTTTAACAGCAAACGACAGACTCCCCGAACCGACGGAACCATTCGAGGAAATGTTACAGCCGACTCTGGACACCTGGGACATCGGCACCGACGATGACATCACGCAAGACGATTCAGAGACAGAGGCGTGGAGCGATCGGACAAAACGGATCAAGCTTTACGACAGTCTATGTCAGTACTTCAGGCCTAGCAGGGTACCGCCATATGGAGACGTCACTACCTTAATTACATTGTAAAGTTGATATGTATGGGTAACGGTAAAAATAGACTTTCTGTCATACACATAAAGGTTCGAAATGTCTAAATCGTAAAAGTTATTAGTTATGTTATTATAATGGTTATTGCAAACTTTGCTGAGTTAAACCTTTTGAATTATAAAGCATTTTATAAAAGTGTAGAAATTTGGAGTGAATCTTCTGATCCTAACAAACTTAATCTTTGTTTAAAAGACAGTAGTGTAATAACAGTACCTAGTACACGAAATATGAGTTGACAAATAAGTTGAACACTAAGAAACGTTTCTGATTATCTTAGCAATCCTTTAAAAACTATATAACTTAACTGTAAGTCATTTTCTAAAAGAAAATTGTAGGTATAACATTATATTTAGTATAATAATATACTAATTGTGCTCAAAATTTATCTGTAACTGCTTCTTTTCTCGTAATTAAACGTAAGTAGTGTGTACTGGATTATGATCATAATTATATGTGAAGTAAAGTTTTAAAACAGTTTCGCCATTGACGATATGTTATATAAAATTTGCTTTTGACATTTATATTTCTATTGACATAGGACACTAAAGAGGTTGTTTATTTATATGCCCTAATTTTAAAATATCGAAGAAAACTATTATACGTTAGATAAGCCTTTTATTGAGAAATATTTAAGGCCGTACGTACCACCGGAGGACCTAAGCAGAGTCTATAACCATAGACCAATCTGTAAAACTGCAAGGAATTTACACACTACATCAGATAGTAGATTATTAAATAGGTATTCAGCGTACGCTCCTTTATTCAAGCATCTGCCAATGTATGACGTGGGTATCACCCATTAGTAACGGTCATTAATGCTATTTGGATTTAATTATATTAATTGCGAATTTTTATGTATTAGCATGTTAATTGCTAATGCTAAAATAATTTGCTAAAGTTGCAATACCGTACAAGGAGAGCAAATGAAAAACAATCGTAACTTGAGTTTTATTACTAAATTTACCTACATAAATAACTTATTTATTATAATTTAACTCAGCGATGTTCGATATTCGCAATCAAAAGTGATTACCATTTTATTTTCTCTAACATTATCACAGAAATAATCCCATATAAGACTTTTTCGCGATATGTTAGCCATCGTCAATTCGTCACTTAACAATTTACAACGCACACGTTTATTGTATGGTACATTCATGATAATACCTACTGTATTATTCTTTTACTGTAGGCTAAAATATATTACGACTAATCTTGGTTTCACTTCTTTATTTCTCTTTCTTCTTTGTTTCTTTTCAAGTCTAAAAATCAGTAACAAAGTAATAGTTAACGTATAATTGTCCTCATTGAGTGTTGAGACTTGATGGTATTTAAATGTTATACAATATTTAACACTGTGTAGACCACAGTGTTAATAGTAGTTAGTTGGTAGTAGTGGTTAAAATTTTACCGTAATATACTCAGGATCTAGTTTACCAATCTTCAGTGTTTTAGACTTATTCCGTATTTTTATGCAATAGACGCTTTGAATATTTAATATAGCGTAGATTAGGTATTCAGTTTTATCTATGACACTTTTAAGCATTTACCTTAATAGTTAGTAAGGCAGAATGAGACTCTTAGATTTATACGTACGATATTCACCTTGGAGTGACAGTAACAATACTAATCTTATGGCGTTTCATAATTGAGTATTCCGCTCCGAACTTAATTTAATTAAGATAGTATTTAATTAAGGTAGAAACTTGGATGTCCACAACTATAATAATGCATTAGGACACTAATAATTTTACTATACACTAGAAATAACAGGTTACCCATAACCAAGCTATATTAGAATAGTTTTTTTTCATAGACATATTAATATAGTTTTGAATATAGAACACCATTTGGAACACCATACAGTAATATCACAAAAAAAAACCTCGCCTCAAATCTCCCTTTAATAACAATTAGAAAAGGTCTGAGAATCATCGATGAGCTAAACAGATTTTTACGAATTATAGCTACAGCCACTCGCATTAAGTGATCTTGCCAACCAAAATGAGTTTATCCGTTTAGAGCATAAGAGCACAGACAAGCGTACAACTATACAAGTCACTAACTTATAACACATCTACATAAAAACAATGTAAGATTTTTCACTTGATTACATTATTTTTATTTAGTCCGTTGTTTGTCAGTTTTGCGCATTATTAACATATTTATTTATAAAGACGAAACAATAATTTATTTCAATTTATTAATACAAATCTTAATTATTGACATTGTTTATGCTTTTTTTAATTTATTAAATTGAACCTTACTTTAGCGAAAATGGATATTATGAGGAATTAAGACTTCTTCCCTGATATATACATATTTATAAACAAACTAGTTTTAAGATAGTGATGGGGAGCTTTTTCATGTACAGGGTGAGTCTCTAAGTCAAGTTATTCATTTGTGTCGGAGAAATATTTCCTTATAAAGTTTTTTTTTATCTTTTATGCTCCCCATGTAGGTCACGGATTTTGTTATCTATTTTAATTAATTCCAAGATTATTTTATTAAAAATCTATTTCTTTAACATCAAGATGTGTATGTATGTAAAGGTGTAGAAAATCAGCTAAGAGCATGGTATTCAAAGAAATTTCGATGAATAACTATACACATTCATTTCTTATCAATTGTGGTTGCGTCTGTAAATTATTTAATATTTTCTTGGCCATTTTAAAAGGAGTGGAGTTGGGTGGGGGTTTGTATGTAAAAATGAAGATAAACGTAGAAATACACATTTTATATGTAAAACGTTCTTACAAGAATAACGATAAAATATTTGTAACTATTTTTCAAATAATAATGTTTATGGTCCTGTGAAAATGTCAATAAGTTTCCAAGGGATAACATCAATTTCAACTGTATTCGTATTGTAAAGACCAATTTCTTTCATATATTAATAAAAAAAAATCTCAGTAAGGTTTTAATTTGAAGCTAATAGTTGGTGAGGTAAGGTAAATTATAATTTAATAGTTGGTTTAATAATACAGCCAAGTTTCCGTGGTAATGAGTTAATAATGATAATATAGAAATAATCTCTCTTCCTCTGTTGACAGCATTCATTAGTCCCGTATTACATGCAGCGAAATATAGTTGAAATCTGAACGTTAAACCGTACACTTATCTTGTTCATGTTTCGTAATACGCTGATCCTGCTATTCTGATAAAAAAAAAGTAGTTTTAATGAAAGGAGAAATGAGCGTTATCTGTAAATGAGAATAAGATATGAACGTAAATTAAGGGGAAACATCATATGTAAAGAGCATAAATGATTTTATAGAGCTAGTTATGTAAGATATGAAATTATTGAGCTCTTTTTACTACAGCGTAACAACGTTTAAGCTAAATTTTGTAGAGGTAAAATCACTAATGCTATTAACACTCAAGTGCTACAAAAAGCTGTTTTTCATATTTCGGATCCCTTGAATGATGTAAAGAGCTAAAAACAGTGTTTTCAATACAGAAATTTTCTTTTGAAACTGACTGATTGAACTTGAAAACTGTCTTAACGAACAAATCTATGTAAAATAAGAGAAAGCATAGCCGATTTTCGCTGAAAATGTCCTCATAAGAAAATGTAAAACCTAATAATTTCAATACAAATGATGTTTAAAAATGTTAATCGGTCTAACTGCAACCATATTCCGGTTATACATTATGAAAAATAAAAAAAATATGGCAACTCTCAATAACATCTAACTTCCGATCGGCAAACTCCAGTAATGTATTGTTGAAGTATGTTTATTATAGTTATAGTAGTGGCAGGTTCCAATAGAGGCTATATTTTATTTAAGTGCGTTTTTAAATTCAATTATGCTTTAAAATTGTAAATAATTTATTAAGGCGTTGGTTTCTTGTAGCAAGCATGCATTGATGGTATGTAACTTTATGACGTCTAGTCAGACTTGGCCTTATATGTATATAATACTTTTGATTTTTTAATCTTCAGGTATCCAAAAAAACTGATTATATACAATTATGTAGACACACACATACAATAATTTTGAATTTCGCAACGTTTGACTTTTTTTAAATTAGATGTGTATGGTAATAGTTGTGATTACACCATAGTCGTCAACTGGAAGCAAAAAATCACACTTGATCTTGATGATCTTACAAGGAAGCACTGTTCGTCACGACCTTTTGTATCTGTTCTTGATTTAAACAAATCGTAGCTTCTCAAATTTTCTCTCCTTTTCTCACACTACTACTGCCAATATTTGGTAATATTTTATGCTTAAAAATTTCATAGTTACAAGTAATCTTAAGCTACAAGTCGGCATTTAATTTCCTCATTACATACGGCGCTTTTTCTGCGTGCGAACATGTTTCCAAAGTGAACTGTACATACGTAAATACTCTAATGTAAATATTAGCTTTCTATCCATAATTAAGAGAAATTATAGCGTTGTAAATAATATGTATCCATGTAAGGGTAAATTATTTGTTTTCATTAAGTAACATGATACATTCTCACTCTGTATTGTACATAATAAATATTATGCGTATATATAATTAGTGTTTCATTGAACAAACTCCTGTAATAAATGTAATAAAATATGATATGTTGGTTCAAAATATAGAGATGTGAAGGAACGAATATCCCTTTTTCCCATATTTGTTTGTTTTGTATAAAAGTGGGGATTGTGTTGCCTTTTTATACATTACAAGTTTTATACGTTAGGTCAAATTGTTTAGACGATGCTTTTGCTCTGGAAGTTGTTTACTCAATACCTCCATTGGGTAGAGTATACCACTTCATAAGCTACCACCATCATAAGTTTCTTGTTTATGTCATATCTTGATTTTTAAACACCGTACTAAGGGTTAAAAAATCAAATCAATCAATCAATCAATTCTTTTATCCAGTTGTCCGATCATACGGACTATGGATAAAAGAAATTATCCATGATAGTAATATTTTGGACATCTGACACACAACAGCATATAATTTCAAACTAAGCAGAGCTTGTATTATGATAAGTAGATTGACTGATAGAATATTTATATACTTTTTTTGTAAATACATATTATACATAAAAACACCCAACCTCCGAAACAAATATTTGCAGATCTTACAAACATTTGGTCCGATCCCAGCATGCAACCCGAGACCTCAGCGTAGCAGCCGCATACGCTACAACTGCACCACCGAGGTTTTTTTTTATCCATAGTCCGGTTGACCGAACTCGACTCGGATACCACCCACCAGTGGGGTGGTTATGTCGGACTCAAACTAATTGAAAACCGAGCGCCGTCTCCAGGTACTGGTAATTACATAACTCATTACTTGCGGAAAGTCTCAAAGATGCTAGGAAAAATGAAAGACAAATTACCGTCTTTTGGATAGATTTAGAAAACACCTTTGGCTCAGTACGACACGAGCTCATGTAATTTGCCTTACAATGGTTTAACTTTCCACCAATCATTTGTAAAATAATTGCATCATACTATAGTAAATTAAAATTCGTAATCACAGCAAAAGAGGGACACAAAACCCCTCGAATACAGAGTAGGGTTGTTCCAAGGTTGCTGCTTATCACCAGTATTTGATACGTAGTAAATATATTACTAAATAATATCGCAACACACGAAAAGAGGTGGGGCTACCGGTTTAAAGTCAATGGAAACATACGGAATCCATCTTAGCATTTGCAGACGACCTGGCGATCCTCACGCGTAACCTGAAGTCAAGCACTACTGCGTAAGGTCGATGACTTCTGTACCTAGACGGAAGGAATGAGGACAAAACCTAGCAAATGCTATTGCCTTTGTCTAGGCCGGCGAGGTACCAGATATAGCTCATATGACCCCGGGATTACTATTAGTGGGAAAGTGTTTCAATAATATCAAAAACCGTGCTCTTTAAATTCCTTGGAAGAAAGATAGACTACAAAGGTCGTGCTCCATCTATGAACGCAATAGTCAATTACTTCGTAAAAGACATTGACAAGGTAGACCAACAGCAATAAGTATCGTAAAAAAGATTGGATTTACGACAACTACTTAACATCACGTCTCAGCTGGTATACGATATAAACCAGAACCACTTAAGAACACTGAACGCGAAAGTCACTAAGACATTGAAGTAGTGGCTTGGGCTAGCAACATCCGCAGACCTGTCAACATTGTACAGGGGCTCGAATGACTTTGGAATGAAAAAAGACCTTCGGCATTCTACAAACACCTAAGAGTTACCAAAATGCATGTCTTGTCAAAATCACAAGACGAATTAGATCCCTTCCAAAAAGACATCAATTCATCAGAGCTCGAATCACGGCTCCAATTCCACAAGAAACGCAGTCCAGTAGAGTTGGATTGGAAAATGCTAGAAGACTTTTATATGATTTGTCACCTGCCCTGTTAAAATTTTCAATTGACTTCCCCGATCAAAGCAACCTAGTAAGGTGAGGAAAAGCTACAGAAAAGGCTTGTACGATATACAGTGCGGAAATAGGTACAGCCAGTCAATACAGTACAGAACAGAACATACAATACAGAATACCGGAGGATATCTGTGCCTCGGCGTCCAGACCAGACATATTTCTTTATATGCAATTTCAATTAAGCGTGTAGTTCTAGTAGAATTCACGGTGCCGTGGGTAACGAACATCCCTAAAGACCACGCTTTAAAAAAAAACAAGTACTTTGACTTAACCAACGAAATAACTAAAAATGGTTATGTCGTTGCGTTGTGTGCCGTAGAACACAGCAGACATTGGAGGTGAGCGCTGAAGCGTCGCAAGGAGTAAACCTCCCTAAACCTATACCTGGGTCGCAAGTCCCAGGCGCTGTCAAAGTAACAGGTGTTGTCCCCCATCTATGACATGATGGACCCGGCGGTTGATCCATGGAACGCTAAGAAATAGGTCTTAATTTACTATTGCATTAAAAATAATTTAAAACGACTGTCAAAAATTAGTCAAATAACCTGTTATTGTCACACAAGTACGAAATTATATTTCGACTTATTTTGGTTTATTACCAAATTATAAATCGCGATAATCGAAATGAAATGAAGTGAAATGTTACTTAAATTAATAAACACCCAACCCCTAGCTCTCAAATATAAACTTTGTGTGTTAATATAAAAAAGGGCTCTGTATCACCTGTTTTAAAATAAAAAAGAAACATCTTTTAAATATATCATTTATTATTCTCATACATGATTCAAATCAGTCATTGTGACAACACGGTTTGCCTTATATGTGAAAATAAATACGCTCTGTCATGATATGTTCCCGGTTCATTGCATCTGTCGTTGAATAGCACACACAACACTTATAGTGGTACAAGCTCATTATTAAAGAGATTCAAAAAGACTTGTAATCTGGATCCCGATCTAATTGGATTACGCAAATAAATTATTTCGTCTGAAATGAAGCAGTGAGGATAACGATTATTCTGTTTACAGAGTGAACCATCAAACTGTGCATATTTAACAATGGATCGGCGAGGGTGCCACACCGACCGCTGTACAAGACTATAAATACGTTATGAATCTAGTTCAAGTGTCAAGTGCAGCACGTTGTCACACTCTCGGCCGTACGAATAATTGACGTTGTACTCAGCTACAGATAAAAATGAAACCTTATAAAATGGGAACATACATTTATCGAGTTGTCCAACACCTAGATCATGTCGCAATACATAATAAAGTAGCGGCCATTTTATAACAAAACTTTCATCTTTAAATAAATATAACTCATAATTAATAGTTTACTCTATAATATCTATACCTAGGCAAAATAATCCTCTAAATATTATATAATGTATGTATAAAGAAAAATATTATTTTTGGTTAATCGCTGTGAACACCGCCACCGATGAGTGGCAGCAGACATCGAGCGATGCCCTCCATATAAAAATACTGAATAATAATACACTGAACGTAATATATACTATATTTATAAACAACCAAATTTAATTGCACTAATACCTTAGGTAAACTCATAATACAGGGCTCAGCGACTACACTTGAGCTAAAACCAATATATATATATATTATTTACTATCAATATAGTTAAAGAAAGTTATATATATATACCTATCTGATAATTTTCACCTTAAAAATGTTCTTAAAACATTACTAAAAGTCAAATTCGTAATTTTAAAAATGATTTAAGTACCTAAATAATATTGTTGAAGTGCAAACATTTTATATCAGTTTTGGTTCAAGTATAGTGTTAAAGGAATAACAGTCGGTCACATATAACAATTAACAATAAGTGTGATTGAAATGAACGACGACAAATGAACAACAGTGTCAACAAAGTCACCCGAGACACTGGACGAATCCAAGTTTGAATTAATATAATCATAGAAAAACATACTGCTCTTATAACAAATAGCATATAAAAATATTATTATGTTGATGCAAACGGAATCTAGTGGGCGTTTCATGTCCAAGTAGTGCATGAATCGCGCACTAGACGCACGGATTTATCGGTGACTAGACATAAAATACATAAACGATGTCTGCTGCTAAGCTAATACGAAATAATAATACTTAGTAAAGAAAGTAGACAGTAAAGCTAACAATCGGTAAGTCCATCGTTTAAGTACATGAAGAATGCGCTACGATAAAAGCTAGTCAATATATTATTATTATCTATAAACAATAAATGCGAGACGATGGTCTAGCGGCGCGACCGCTCGCGACTGTGTCGTCCGCGGTCCCGCCGCCCTTTGAGCTATGCAAACAAATTACGCTACGAGTGTTAATATTGCAAATTAATTTCACTACACGAGGAGATCCTCGCTAGATTACCTACTAAGTATACTTGAAGGTTAACGTATCTAGAACTATACCTAAACCAGTAAAAATACCTACAAGGGCGAGTGCCCACGCTACATGGAACGGTCCAACTAGCCTAAGGTCAGCGAGACGCTAAGAAAGATCAACGACTATGTCACCGAGGCGGCCGTACTCGACCGTATCACGGGAAGCTGCCAATATCACATCCGATAACGTAAACAATTAAATCGTAACACTTAATAAAATCTTTTTTCTTTTGTAAATTTTGTCTTATCAATAGATTCGCTGGTCGACGCCCGTGAGCAAAGTTTTGAGCGACAAAGGCGAAACCGATAGTTACATTTCTGTCGGAAGTGGTAATTAATTAAAGAGCGTAAGACGACTGGGTAATATTATAGTATAACGTGTGAAAGTAATATCAGTCGGGCGCGACCAGCTCATGGACAAGAAATGGACGCGAGTGGCGACGCCACAGGACGGCAGAGTAACACAACAGTGGCTCGGAGCGCCGTGCACATGTCGCAGCGGGTTCATACGTGTCGGGGCTGCGCTCTCCCAGCGCACGCGCCTTGCTTAGTCTCCGAGGGCACACCGGCGTCAGGTGGCACGGCGAGGGCGGCGCGTGCGAGTTACATGCGGACGTCGGGATTCTTTGGCGCCGCAACTAAAACCGGTAAAATTCAACTCCGACGCACAACACTCTAAAGTGATCAACGAAACATACTGAAACACTACGAGTACAACTAGAACAAGATGGACGAAAGTATTCGGCGGAGGGCCACAACAACACAACAAACGTATTCACTACAGAACAGATTAAATAGTCTTTTCGCACTCAATGGATGGACGTCGACGAATATTTTTTTTAGAAATTTTAATTGGACGTACTAAACATTCGTATCGAGTAGAGGATTCTATTAATGTATAATAAGACTCGAACAATAAATATATCATAAAAAATAACGTCGCACCGTTTCATCGTAACCCCCCCCGTCCCGGGGGTTTTCGGTACGAAACCCCGGGCCGGGGGTTCACGTAAAAAATCAGTCAACAAAAATATTAAACCCCCCCCTTTTGCCGGGGGGCCTGGGAAAAGGGCTTTTGGGAAAGGGGGGTTCCCCCCTTTGGGGGGGGGACGGGGGGGCCCCGGCCCGAAAGGGGGGTTATTCCCCACGGGGGGGCGCCCCCCCCCGGCCCGTTTCCGGGGTTTTTTTTCACTAAAAATTTTTAGCCCCAACCCCATTAAAAAATTTAAAAAAACCAAAACCGGGCTTCCGCCCCCCAGCCGGGGGCCCGGCGGGGGGGGCCTTTTTTTTTGCCCCCCGGGTTTGGCTTTCCCCCCTCGGGCGGGGGGGGCCCCCCGGGCCCGCGGGGGGCCAAGTTGGGGTTTAAACCTCGAAACCCCCCGGGCGCCGACCCCGGTTCCCCGAATCAAAACGATTTACAAAATTTTTTTATAAATTTTCCCACTTTTAATTATTTCCCGGTTTTCCAAAACCCCGGGCAGAACAAAATTTTTGGGTTTTCATTTTTTCCCCCCCCGGGGCTGCCGGGGGCCTCCCCCGCGCCGTTTTTTCGCAAGGGGGGCGAAAAAGCGCGGGCCCCCTTAAAAAAGGAGGAACGGGGGTGCCAGAAGGGCGCCCCCCCCCCCCTTCCGCCCCCTTGGGGAAAACCCCCTTTTTTTAAATTGGGCATTTGGGTTTTAAAAATTGGCAAACCAAAATATTTTTCATTGTTAAAAAAACCCCGCCATTTGTGTTTTTTTAATGAAGGTTTTTGGACTTATATTTTTGTGCTATATTCCCTTAAAACTATCCAATTCTCTGTTCCCTTAGTTTTTGGGGGGGTTCTGAAAAAGTGAGCTTTTTCCAAAAACCGGGAGCCGCGAATTTGGCATTTTGGTTTTCTTTCTTCTTCTGCCCGGCAAGGTTTGGGGCGGGGCCCCAAACCTCGCCGTTTTTTTGACTTGGCAAATAGCGGGGGATTTTAAAACCCCCCTCAAAAAGGGATAAGTTTTATTGAACAAAGGGTTTTTGAAGGGGGGGGCCCAAAAAGAAAAAAAACCAATTTTTTTAAAATTTTTAAAAAAACAAAAATTGAATATTATAAAAAAAAATTTTAAGATTTGGGGGGGCCAAAACCCGCTTTGTTAGATGAAACGTTTTAATTTTTTCGTAAATTTTTTGTGGAAGGGACTAATTTAAAAACCTGGTTTTGGAAAATTTTAAAAAATTTAGAAAAAAAAAAAATTCCTTGAAAATTGTCGAAGGAGAAAACTATCCAGAAAGAAAGGGAACTCCTTTAAAAAATTTTTTTTAAAAAGAAAACCCCGGGTTGGACGGGGAATGTTCTTTTTGGGGGGTATTTTCCCTTAAAAGGGGCACGAACCCCGGGGGGCTTTTTCCGGGCCCTCCCTCCTCTTTCCCTCTCTTTTCTTTTGATCACCCCCCTTTCCTTTAACCCCCGGCTCCTTTCACCTTTTTCCCGGTTTTTCCCAGGGGGTTTTTTTCCCTTTTTTTTTCCCTTTTTCTTTTTTTTCTTTTATAAAACCCCAAAAAATTAATATTAGCCCCCCGTACCATTTTTTTAAAATTTAGCGGGGCCCCCTTTTTTTTCCCCCCCCCCCCTTTCCCCCTCCCTTTTAACCAGACCCTAATTTTGCCCATAATTTTGGGGGGGAAAAAATGTTTTTGTTTTTTACTTTTAAACCCCTACCCCCAAATTTAAATTGAATATTAAAACAATTTTTTTTTTTTTTTAAAAAAATCCGAAAACATTTTTTGTGCGGGGGACTTTAAAAAAAATTTAAAAACAAAAAAAAAGTTGAAAAAAGGGGGATAAAAACATTTTTTTTTTTTTTTGGGGTTTGAAACAACCCCTCCTGGGAAGGGGTTCCCCGGTTTAAAAATCCAACCCGGGGCAGTCTTTAATTGGTGGTATTAAACAAAAATTTTCAATTTTTTCCCCCAAAAATTTTTTAAAAAATTTTAAAAAAGGGACGAAAACCCGGGTTTTTTTTGCAGGCCAACCCCTAAGAAAAGGATAATTTTTTTAAACAAAAGGAATTTTTAAAAAGGGGGGTTTAAATGTTTTTTGCTTTTTTTTTTTGACGTTTTTGGGCCCCAAAAATAGTTTTAAAAGGCTTTTTTTTTTTTTTTTTAAAAGGGACCCCTTTTTTAAAATTTTAATTTTATTTTAAACCTTTAATTTTTTAAAATTTTTAAAATTAAAATTTAAACTGTTTTTGGTTTTTTAGTTTTTGGGGGTTTTTTTAAAATTTTCTGGCTTTTTTTAAAAGTTTTCTAATTTAGTTTTTTTGTTTTTCGTTTTTTCCGGTCTTTTGGAACATAAACGTTTTTGGCTTTTAAAAACTTTTTTCCCATTAAAATTTTAAGTTTTCGCCCATTTTTTAAAAAATATGTTCGGAAGAACCGTTTTTTTTTTTTACTTTTTCCGGAAGGCCTTTGGTTTTTGTTGTTCCCGTTTTTTTCGGAATTCGTTTGGGGTTTCGGCTTAAATTAAAAAGGGTTTTTAAATTTTTCTTTTTTTTTTTGGGGGAAAATTCCCTTTTGGAAATTGGTTTTTTTGTTTTTTTGGTTTTTCGGGGGTTTGGGGGAGGGTCTTTTCGCGGGGGGTTTGGGGAAACCCGGTCGAAAAGGATTAGATGGGGGTAATAAAAAGGGGGTAAATTTTTCCTTTTGGTTTTGGGTATTTAATTTTTTGTAGTTTTTTTGGGTTCCCCCTTTGGGTTTTTTCCCCCCAATTTGGGGCCAGGAATGGCCTTTTGGGTTTAAAACTGGGGAAAAGGGGTTTCCCCCTCCGGGGCTTGTTTGCGGGGGTGAAACGGGGGTTTTTTTGGGGGGGTTTGTGGTGGCAAAGGTTTTTTTTTCCCCGGTTCCGGGGGCTGGGGGGTTTGGGCAGCGGGGTCCCGGGTTGTGGGCCCGGGGGGCGCCCCAGGGGGCGTGAGGGGCGGGGGGCCTTTTTGTGGGCACCCGCCCGGGCCCCCGGCCCCCCCCCGGGAGCCCGCCGCCCCCAGCCCCGGGCCCCTTTCCGCCTCCCCCCCGGGCCCCGGGGGCCCCCCGGGGCCCGGGGTTTCGGGGGCCGCCAATACAAAACAACCGCTTTTTTAAATTTGTTTGGGCTAAAATTTAAAAATGATTTACTACTAAGGGGGAAGAAGACAAATCTTTTCCCTTTTTAAAAAATTTTTAAAAATTTTTTACCCAAAAAGCTTTTCCTTTTTTTTTCACAGTTCCCAATTTCTCAAGGGCGGCCCTTTTTTCTGACCCCAAAAACTAGGCAGAGCCTTTTACTATAGAAACCCCAGCCCTATTGATAAAAAAAATTATAATTTTTTAAATTTACATAAACCTATAAGAAAAATTTTTCCCCCGGGAAACAGAACAAGGGCCCGTGTTTCATAACACAATTTTTGTTTGGGGGGGGAATCAAAACCCCAAGGGAATTTCCCGGCTTAGCAGAAAAACTAACCATTTAGACCGTAAATTTTATGTTTGTTTTAATTTTTCGTTTCCCATAATGTACATTTTTTATGATTTTTTAATTTATGTTTTTTGTTACTTTCGGTTTTACAAAACTTTCTTTAAAAAATTTTTTCTTTATAGAAAAAATTTTTTTTTTTTTTAAGACCCCCACCCGCAATTTAGGAAATACCCCTTTTTTTCGCGTGGGACGTTTAAAAAAACATACTTTAAAAACGGGCAAAAAAGAAACACCCAAAATCAAAAAAACAACTTTGTGGATCACACAAGTTCCCCTTTTTTTGGGGTCGTAGGGTTTTTAAACGGTTTTTTAAACGGTCGATTTTTTTTTGGCCAATCTTTTTTGGTCCCCCCTTTTTTTGTCCGCAAAAGGGCGCTCGGGTTTTTTTTTTTGAGTGCCGGTTGCCGCCCTTTTTTTGGTTTTGGTAGATTTTTTGGGGCCAACATCTCCGCCGCCGACAGCGGGGAGGGGCCGCCTTGGTTCCGGGAAGCACCTGCACCCCCAAAATTTTTTGGGTCCCAAAAATTTTTTTTTCTTTTTTTTTTTTTTTGGTTTCCCATTTTACCAAAAAACCTTCGGAAATTGGTGCTGTTTCCACTTTGCTTTTCCCCAAAAAATCATTTTTCCCCGATGACGATTTTTTTTAAAATTTTATAATTTAGTCGCGCCCCCGAAAAAAAAACCCCCTTTTCTCCCCGATAAATTTTTGGAAATTTAAAAAAATTTTTTTTTAAATTTTAAAACATAATAATACCGCCAGCGAGTGTCCTGAGTAAATCGGCATCCGCTTGCAGTGCAGCCGCCCGAACCTCAGCCTCGGCGACCTTGTCGGCAAGTTGTGCGAGTGCAGCTCTCTGCAACGCCTGTGGACCGACACCCTCCGCCCCAGCGCCCGCTCCCGCTTGTAGCTCCGATAGCAGTGCGCCCAAACCTGACAGTTCGCCGCCCGATACTCGCCACCAGGTCAGCCATTTAGCGGCACGCGCAGATACACCGCCTGGTTCCACTTTCTCTTCGTCCTGTTTACAAACAATTTAGAAATTATATTTAAAAGAATTAGATGTCAGAGCAGTTTAGTAATATCTATAAGTGTTCGATGCAATAATTACGATCGAACACCTTTTGCTGATCTAGCAACCTAACGCGGTCGCCTTAAGTGCGCGGCGACATCAGTGCAGTATTCGGACAGCAAACCGGGTGCATTCGTAACTATTAGCAGAGCATATAAATCGTCCATTAGCATTTTAGCATAGCTTAGTACCGTTATACTTTTTATAATAATAAACCGTGAAAGAGTTATCGAAGTCTTTAATTTAGCATCGAGCTTAGCAGCAGCCCATCGCACGTAGGAAACGTATCCTACATTTTTGGTCCTTCGAGCGTCAAGGACTTCGCGGTCGTGAAATTTCTGTTATCGGAACAATAGACAAGTGGAGTTCGTGACATCTGAACAGCGATCTATATAGCGAATATCTAACAGCGTCCGTAAAGTGTTAACAGCATCAAGCACTGAGAACACTCAGTACATCTCACAGCAGTTCCAGCAGTACTCATTGGGGTACGCATTCAGCAATATTGAGCCTGAAACTAAGGCTCAACAGCAATATCGACACCGAGAGCATCTCTAGTCGGTCCAGCAACACAAAGTAAGATCTTTCTATTACTCTTACCGTTTTTCTAGCAACAGCCAAAATGGAGAGTCTATATTTCTCTCAATCCGAGCTTGGCTGAGAGCATGAAAATATGCTCATTAATTTTAAAAAGGATAGCGTAGAGCGTAAAACTTTTGATTATTGTAGGCGTAAACTCGAGTTACTTGAGAAGTACTGGCGAGAGTATGAAATAAATCATGAAAAATTGATTCCATGTGAAAAAACGAATCATGCGTATTTCGTTAATTCGGAGTATGAGAGAACGAGGGAACTTTACTTGACAATCCAAACTCTGATCAATAAACGTCAAGAAGAGGTAAGCCAACGAGAACAGCCCTCGCCTCATGAGCAGGAAACTACGACTGGCGCTTCGATGCGTCAGTCTAAACAGCAAGCAACCGTAACATATCCAACTACTATAGCGAGAAGTTCTTCAAGTAAGCTGGACGATATGCTTCACAAGCAGTCAGTCAATTTCAAAGCTTTTATACGAACAGTTGATAATATTAATCTGGATACATTAGCTGACAAATGGGAGTTTGACACGACACGACACGATTGTTTTACGCAATTAAAACCTACATCCGGTCCGAGAAAACAAGTATCTAATAACAATTATGAAATTAAACAACAAATTAGCGGAAACGTGCAGGCCTCTCAGCAAAACATAAACGAAATCCTTTTAGCCACCGCGTTGCTAAGAGGTTACATCAGCAGACAGCTCGCAGATTGTTTTGCGTGCCCTTATCGATCAAGGCTCTCAAATATCCTTAATTACTGAAAAAGCAGCCCAACAGCTGGGTTTAAAGAGAAAGCAGTACAGTGGCGTTGTTTTTGGCATAGGTGAGAAGGACAGCAACTGTAAAGGAAAGCTAAATATTACATGCCAATCAATGTACACAAGCTTTAACTTCAATACCGATGTTTTGATTATGAATAATTTAATAAAAAATTTGCCCAATAAATCCTTTACAAAGCCTTTTTGGTCACATTTAGAGCACATAAACTTAGCCGATCCTAAATACTACAAAAGTCGCCCTGTAGACCTATTACTCGGGGCTGACGTATACGCGCTTATTATGTTAGGCGGTACTTTAAAGGGCTCTAATGCAACATCGCCCTTAGCGCAGCAAACTCAGCTTGGATGGATATTATGTGGCGGGATAAATACTTTTCACTGCAATGTGATTTTAAACAATACAGCGGATATTCATCAGTTCTGGAAGATTGAGGATATCCATGAGCAAAATGAAATGTCAACCGAAGATCAATATTGTGTTGATTATTACGTCTCGACTACAAAACGATTAGAAAATGGTCATTATGAGGTTAGGTTACCGTTAAAACAACAATTGAGCGAAAAATTAGGATCTTCAAAGGAAATGGCGATAGCACAATTTAGGAATTTAGAAAGGAAATTTAGCAAGCAAGAGTACTTAGCGCAACAATATAAGCAATTTATAAGCGAATACGAAGAATTAGGACATATGAAACCAGCAACATTTCATAGTAAACAGCTGGAGTGCTTCTTGCCTCATCATGCTGTTGAACGAGCCGATTCTTCTACCACAAAGCTACGTGTCGTGTTCAACGCGTCCGCGAAAAACCTCCACTGGATACAGCCTTAATGACCTTATGTATAAAGGGCCAAATTTACAGAAAGACCTGCAAGAACTGCTGTTAAAATGGAGAATTTATCGATACGTATACACGGCTGACATCGAGAAGATGTATCGCCAAATTTTTATTTCCGAAGAAGATCAAACCCTGCAGCAAATCGTTTGGCGAGAGCATACCAACAAACCGATCACAGCATATCAGCTATCTACAGTTACTTATGGGACTAAATCAGCCCCGTTTTTAGCAATGATGACCCTTCGACAACTAGCGTCTGATGAGCAGAACAAGTTCCCCAGTGCAGCAAGGTCTTTACGAGAAGATTTCTATATGGACGACTATATTTCGGGAACTCATTGCATTAATGAAGGGAGAAGAAGAATAGCAGAATTACATCTGTGTCTTACTAGCGGCGGATTTTCATTGCGAAAGTGGTCCTCCAACGAGAAAAGCATATTAGAAAACATTAACTTATCCGAAAAAACAGACAAACGTCTTTTATTTTCAAATCAGAGAGTACAACTAAAACCCTGGGTTTGCGATGGGACCCTATCAAGGATGAATTTACTTTCCAATATAAAATCTCAGCCGATATTACGAAGCTAACAAAACGAACGCTACTTTCCGAAATATCTAAGTTGTTTGACCCCTTGGGTTGGCTAGCACCGCTGACCACTAAATTAAAATTATTATTTCAGAAAGTTTGGCAAGATTCAAACGTTCAATGGAGTGACGAAGTTTCATCTGATATTAAGAACGAGTGGGTCAAATTAACAGATGACATAAATTTGATTAGCCAGATACAAATCCCGAGATGGCTTAGCTTGCAAGCAGCATGACATTATCCAATTACACGGATTCTGTGATGCATCTCTTAAAGCTTACGCTTGCGTCGTATATGCTCGAGTCGTATTAGCGAACACTACTTCAGTTGTACTAGTCGCAGCCAAAACCAGATTAGTACCTAATAACAAAACAGTTTCGCTACCCAGGCTAGAGCTATGCGCCGCTGAATTATTGACAAAACTATTTTTAAAAATTATAAATAGTTTAGGAAGTAGCATACAGCACAAAATATACGCTTGGAGTGACTCTAAGGTCACTCTCAGCTGGATACGTGGCAATCCAGACAGATGGAAGCCTTTTGTAATCGAACAGAGTGAACAAGATTACTAGCATTTTATCACCAGATATTTGGCATTACGTGCCGACTAAGGAAAACCCTGCTGATTCAGCGAGCAGAGGCCTATCCGTGTCTCAATTAAAAGACTACTCATTATGGTGGGCAGAGGCCCAACCTGGTTATCTACTAAAGGTTTTGAACCTAAGCCAGAGTTCCAGAAATATACAACCGAACTAGAAATACGTAAACAATTCGCAAATGTTCAACAATACGATTCTAAAAATAGTATCATTGAAGACTTAATTATATCGACATAGCTCATTCATAAAAATAAGTCGTATTATAGCCTGGTTATTACGTGCACTTGCACTGACACGTAACCAGAGACCGTCCTATATTACACTACAAGAGCTGCGGAAAGCGAAGTATATTATAATTAAATACATACAACGTACGGATTTTAAAGCCGACATTATTAATTTATTACAAAATAAACAACTTAGTTCTAATAGCAAACTTTTAAACCTTAACCCATTTTTGGATGAAAACGGTATATTAAGAGTGGGAGGACGTCTTAAAAATGCAAATATTAGCACAGATATGAAGTTTCCAATAATTATCGCATATAGTGGTAGGTTAACGGAGCTTCTCATACAGCAAGCACATGAGCTCACCTTCCATAGTGGGCCCAGACTTACCTTATCGGTTTTGAGGCAGAATTATTGGATAATTAAGGGAAACCGAGCTACAAAAAACTGCTTCGCAACTGCGTAATCTGCAAAAAACAAGAACCAAGAAAAAATGCACCAAATAATGGGGTCCCTACCTGATTATAGATCAAATCCAGCACCACCCTTTTACCACACCGGAGTTGACTTTACCGGATTTATACGAGTGAAATCAAATAAAGGTAAAGGTATCAAAACATGCAAAGGGTATATCGCCTTGTTTATATGTATGGTTACTAAAGCGGTACATATAGAAGTAGTCTCTGACCTTAGCAGTTCGTCATTTATAGCAGCTTTACGTCGTATGGCTGCAAGACGCGGAGCACCAAAACACATCTATTCCGATAATGGAACCAATTTTGTAGGTGCCAATAAGATGTTACAAGATGAACAGCAACAACTAGAACGTTCCTTTGATGATATATTTTACAAAGAAATAACCGAAATGAACATCGAATGGCATTGGAACTGTCCTTCTTGGCCAAGTGCTGGAGGGATCTGGGAGCGCTCGATTCGGAGTTTAAAGCAGCACTTAAGGCGGGTAATCGGCGAACAAGCCTTAACATTTGAAGAATACAGTACTTTACTGTCCCAGATAGAAGCGTGTTTAAATACTAGACCATTATGTTCGTTATCTGAGGATATCGATGATATAGACTTTCTCACCCCAGCACATTTTCTTACAAGTCGTGCGGGGTTAACAGTCATAGAAACTGCTCAAGATGCTAGAACAAGATGGTATATGGTCCACAAAATGTTCCAAGATTTATGGAAAACGATGGAAAACCGAATATCTCAGTCAGTTATCTGTACGCAGCAAGTGGTTAAAAACCCAAAAGAATCTCGAAGTAGGTGAGATGGTAACTATTCACGATGACAACTTTCCTTCTGGTAAATGGCCTATCGGGCGAGTGGTAGAGGTCCATCCAGGAAAGGATGGCATTGTCAGGGTAGTGACCTTAAAAACCAAAAACGGTTACATTAAACGTCCTATATTAAAATTATCTCTTTTACCCATAGCGGAGAACGGACACGAGTAAACAATATCAACAAAATACAGAAGCAATTAAGCAACAAAGCGATAAATTAGCGAATAAAATAAAGCGAGTTAACAATTGTTATTCGATATTTAGCCTAGCACTAACGTTTTTATTCTTTATGAATATCGTACTGTCTATTGAAGCGTCTTATAACTTTACATCATTTAATAGTAATCAAACATTATATTTCGATCCTCTGGGCAAAATGGCAGCTTATTAGGGATAGTTGGAAGATGGTAACTTATTACGATATGTCTCCTTTTTGGCAGGGAGACAATGCGGTAACAAAATTTACGAAATATCTCGAGCAAACCTGCGATAAAATTAAAGATCAAAGTCATTGTCATATCATTATCCTTCAAATACGACACGAGTACAACGAACTTCAGTATTATAACCAGCTGTTGTTGAATCAGCACCTAGGACAACCTCGGACTCGTCGCGGACTTATTAACGCAGTAGGTACGATATCTAACAAATTGTTCGGTATACTTGATCAGGACTTTGCGGAAAAGTACCAGCGGGACATTGACCTCGTACGTAGCAACATGACCCATTTCATTCAGTTATATAGAAAGCAAACGTCGGTCATAGAAGTAGAATACAACATACTAAAAAGATCAGAGGAGTCTATTGTTAAACAGCACAAGATTATTAATAATCACCTAAATTATTTAGACCGTATCACAAACACATTAGAAAAGGAGATCGATGTTCTATCTATCCAGCAAGAGTTCACATTAGCAGCCTTTGCGGCCATTAACATGATTCACAATTTAAAACGAATACAGGAATCATTTCTGGATACAATCACTAATCTTTATCACTTGTCTTGTGACTTGTCACCAAACCAACTTCGTACTGAATTACAAATTGTGTCCAGTCAACTGTCTAAAGAAGTAGTGTTGCCAGTCGACAACATTCAAGTTAATTTGTATAAAATATACAAATTGCTGAAAGTCAAAGCCAGAATGACTGATAAATACTTTATATTTGAAATCAGCTTACCTCTCATTAGTAGGGATATGTTCCAGCTATACCACTTGATACCAGTACCGATTCAACTAAACAGAATGATGATTACTATTAAGCCATTATCCGAATACATAGCGATCAACTTGAGGAGAGACACTTACATGTCAGCAAGCCATAATGATCTACAAATCTGTGAATATCAAGAAGATACTTACCTTTGCCATATGCATGGGCCCGTCATGAGCTTGAATTTAGAAGAAAAATTCTGTGAAAAGACAGACTCATCTACTTGTAATATGATAAAGACAAGCTGTGAAAATAAATGGATTCGTTTACACGACCTTTCTACCTATTTTTACTTCTGTTGTAACTCATACTCTATAAAGATCATATGCGACAATGAAATACAAACGCGCCAAGTCAGCAAGGCCGGTATAATTCAGCTTACAAGACAGTGCATTGCTAAAGGTCATGACGTAACACTGTACGCTTATCAGCAACCAGAGAATACGGTCAATCTTAAGTTAAATATACTCGATACAAAGTTTACGCCCTTTAATAATTTAATCCATAACCTTACGCTACCTTTCCAAAATATAGAAACATTTACAAGTGAGAACTCACATATGAACGATTCTTTAAAGCAACTCGGTGACAATATAAGATTGTTGAAAGAATCAGAACAGCAGAACGACGGCCTGACGACACATGACATACATCACTACACTGTGTCGTATGGGCTACTAGTAGCAGCAATGGGAGCAGTCCTGTGGTTTCCTGTGGAGGAAGCGCAGGCGCAACGCCGCGCCACATCGAGAACACGTCGAGAGCGTGCCCACGAGCGTGAGTGTGTTTGTAAACCAAACTGAGCAAAGTTCTAGTGTCAGTGTGGGAGATCCAGCCCCCTCCGACAAAGAGTTTAATGTGTGTAATAGTGCGCGTGAACATAGTTTTTCAAAAAGGTGGTCTAGTTTACGTCTAAAAAAGCGAGATATGTCCACGTCCCCTATCGCGAAAAGACAACCTGTATTCTTACATGCTGACTCAACCGTTTGAGTACAGATTTGTAACTAGCTTATAAGATTTTATTGTTCCATCATCTTGTAAATCATTTATCATCTAGCATTGTCCTAACATTCATTATCAAATCTCACCCTCACGTACATCTTAATATTGTAATATGTAGCTTATCTCATCTTATCTTCTCCCCTCGGGAGCATGTTCGATGCAATAATTACGATCGAACACCTTTTGCTGATCTAGCAACCTAACGCGGTCGCCTTAAGTGCGCGGCGACATCAGTGCATATTCGGACAGCAAACCGGGTGCATTCGTAACTATTAGCAGAGCATATAATCGTCCATTAGCATTTTAGCATAGCTTAGTACCGTTATACTTTTTATAATAATAAACCGTGAAAGAGTTATCGAAGTCTTTAATTTAGCATCGAGCTTAGCAGCAGCCCATCGCACGTAGGAAACGTATCCTACAATAAGATTACGCGACACGGCACCTGAGTGTCTAGGGATGAAATCCAATCACATGTAAAAAATCATATGTTTTATAAATCATATTATCACACCTGTAACTGCTTTACAAAACCACTGCTACTTAATTATTATTATTACGCTAGCGCAAGACACGCAAAAGGTCTAAATAAAAAAAAGGACGTGATCTTTGATAAAAAGAATTTTGATTGATTTAATTGCCATTTATCTTTGTCTATGAAGAAATCACAATCACATGTAAAATCGTTGTGACTAAAACTAATCAGTTCGGTAAATGAATATGATTTAAAAGTAGCAATAATACAGATGTCTAGTGGCTTCATACCTACAATGCAAAGTGAGTGGTCCTGGCTCGATATTAAGTTATTTTTTGTTTCATTATTGGTTATTTTTGAGGGTGCGTGTAGCTGGTCAAGTGTGATAGTCAGTGATGTGGTAGTGGGGGTACAGACCAGTGGCGCGCAGTCGGCGTGCAGCGCGTGCAGCGCGGTGACGCGCGAGGCGGCGCGCGTGAGGCCGGTGCGCAGCAGGGCCGCCGCTGCGCTCTCGCTCTCCGCTGTCGCTTGCGCGCTGCGCATCGACGCCTGCAGCTGGCTCTGGCGAATATCAACCCGATACTTTCATTTACATACTTGAGGGAATACTACACAAAAAACATAACCCTCTTTTTGTGCAGTCGAGTAATAAGAAGTAAGATACACATTATTTTAGACATAATCCACTAGTCATATAAGTTGTACGATTAATATTTCTAATAAAAACGTTTCATATCTCGGTCAACGAGTCAGTTTACTAGTAGTTTAGTTTTACAGGGTATTGGAGCATTTCTTCATGATAAGTTATAATGCTGTGTAGCAGTATTTTAGATTATTTCCTGCTGGTGTTGAGAAAATAAGTAGTCGAATAAACATAATCAATATTCTTAATTATAAATTGTTTGAATATAAAATATATTTTAGATAAGTTAACTACATTGATCAATATGAGAAAACGGCCGACCTCTACGACTTGAGTAAAAATTTGACTCATACTTCTCATAAATTGGTGCATTACGACGTACCACCTACAGACTCTTATTATCTAATTAGAATAATTCCCTAAAACAGATAATTTGCTTGATCTTTTCTTAAACGGAGGTCAATTTCATCAAACCAATTTGTTAACACCTACAAAATTAATCATAAGCAATTTTTCAAACAGGTGATGGTTGAAAACTTGCTATTTTATAAATGAATTAGAATACCATCAATTTGAACCAGACTTACGGTAGTAATTATGGATAAGTAAAATGTTGCTTTTCTGAGGCTTCACTTAACCGATGTAATTCAATTCAAGCGTTAGGTAAACAAAAGATACTGTACATTTTACATTTTAAATGTAATTTAAATTGTTAAGTCCCGATCATAAAGTTCTACTTAAAAATAATAAATAAAATCCAAAATATTCTTAAATAATAAAAATACTTACATTTTCACTATGCGCTTGTTCCAATTGTTTCTCTAACCGTGTGATTTCATGTAGATGGACTTCGGAGAATAGGTCTGCGTGGTGGTCTCCCATTGCTGACCCTAGCTCAGCTGATGATGAACCACCTGGCTCACCCTCATCCTCTGTGCCGTCGTCTGGCATACCTGTAGGAATCACAGCAGTTGCAAGAATCTTGAATGTTAACCGCAAACAATGTCTTAGTGATTAAAAAATTTACAAAATGACGAGTACTGTTACACTGTTCCTAAATTTCTTGTAGACATTGTAACTATGACTAATTTTAAACATTATATTCACGTGTGTACAGATGACATCTTGATGATTAATGTTTTTTAACTTAGATTTACATAAATTTATATTATTAACATAAATTTGAGTGTACTTTACACTCAAATTCAGTTGTTTTTTTTTTGTAAATCATTGGAATAAATTTATTAATGAAAGATTAACACAAATTTTTCATTAATACCATATAATGTCGCCTACTACATATAGCTTCCTGATAATAATTAACTGGATGGACACGACACAACTGTCCGCTTTTTCAAAAGACTTTTTGCCTCGCCAGCCAATCTGTTGAACAAGTTATCGTCTGTGGTATTTCCGGACCGATACGACCCTCAAACCTTTAAGAAAAGAGCGTACTTCTTCCTAAAAGGCCATCAACGCGACTCCTGATTTGCAGACGTTCATGGGCTGCGGTAGTCGCTTTTCACCAGATGTCCTGTCTGCTCGTTTGCACTCTATTTCATTAAAAAAAAACACCGCTAGTTAAGATATACACACCACGTATACTGTACGCCAAGTTCGTAATGTTGTACGCTGCTTCTCTACTAAGATGTGCATCTAATTCCTTCTTTGCGGCAAACTTAGCTTCGCGTTCAGCTTGTAGCGCTTCCAACGCTTCCGCAAGCTGTCGCTCAGCGATGCGGCGCAGTGCGGCCGTCTCCTCGGCCATAGCGCGAGCATTCTCTGCCTCCTCACGTAGTTGACGCACTTCATGTTTTAACCCTTCGAATTCAACCTGCGAATTTAAGGTTTTGAATTATTTACCCGAATTTTAATCCATAATATATTGGAACCCTAACAGTAGGCTCTTTTCTGCTTATGTACAGAAACTTAATTCAAAAGCAGCTCCAAAGCGATAATAACATAAATTTGAGTGTACTTTACACTCAAATTCAGTTGTTTTTTTTTGTAAATCATTGGAATAAATTTATTCATAGTTTTCATCGATAGAACACAACACTCCACGCAATAGAACTTAGTTTAAATCGTTCGATTCACTCTTGCTAATCAGTTTTCAACATCTACCTTACGTGAACGAAAAAAGATTTTAACGATCTGCCTAAAAATCTACAAAAAACAACATATCTAAAAGTATTCACTTATAGTATTTAATGGCATATAAAAATCTGAATCTTTTGTACCCAAACATTAACCAATATTCGGTAAGCGAAAGTTCGCAGTCAAGTTTGCATGAAATATATAGGATAATCAATTAGCTCGTGGCACAGGTCCAATGTTTTGGGTAAAATATCAAACAGCGAGCCGCGCCTATGAGTAACGGCTACAGAAAACACTTGCCGTCACATTGTCGTCAGTCAATTACACCGATTCTATTCTATATCGACATAATTCTATACTTTCCTGACAAGTGATAATAATAGCAAATATTACATGTCATAATGTCATGTCGTATGTCATGTCATAATATAACTAGTATATGAATACTTTAGTCGTACTTTGAAGAACATTAGCAGAAGAAGTGGACTAAATAACTTTTATTTAATGCGATATTTAAGAGCTTTTATTTTAGTGACACCTTGCTATAATTATTTTTAATCTACCTTTTGTGCCTAAACAGGTCCTCCACTCAAGAACTCGTTTTCCCCAACGGTTATCGGTTCTGCGGCTAATATGGCCAGCCCACTGCCACTTCAGCTTGCTGATCCGGTACGCTATGTCGGTGACCTTAGTTCTCTGCCGGATCACCTCATTTCTGATGCGATCCCTTAGAGAAACGCCGAGCATAGCCCTTTCCATAGCACGTTGAGCGACTTTGAACTTGTGGACCAGCCGTACCGTAAGTGTCCACGTTTCAGCTCCGTATGTCATGACGGGTAGGACGCACTCATTAAAGACTTTCGTCTTAAGGCACTGTGGGATCGACGATGAGAAGACTCGACGTAGCTTCCCAAACGCTGCCCAACCCAACCCGAATTCTTCTGTTCACCTCGTCCTCGAAGTTGTTTCTACCTAACTGCAATGTCTGCCCGAGGTACACATAATTTTGAACAACTTCGAGAACGGCACCGTGTACCGCAATCGGTTCCGGTAGTACATGTTCGTTGAACATGACCTTGGTTTTATCCAAGTTCATCCGTAGGCCGATGCGTACAGAAGTGTCAGCCAAGTCATTCAGCATTTGCTGTAGGTCCTGCAACGTCTCTGCCATGATGACGATGTCATCTGCAAATCGCAAGTGAGAGATGTATTCGCCATTGATATTGATGCCACGCCCTTTCCAGTGCAGCGTCTTGAACATGTCCTCCATTGCATTTGTGAACAATTTCGGGGAAATAACGTCCCCTTGTCTCACTCCTCGATGCAATGGTACGTACCTTGTTTGCTGATTCTGTAACTTGGACGGACATTGGTGGCGGCTTCGTAGAGACATCTCATCACTTGGATGTATCGCCAATCTACTTGGCAACGCTGGCAGGGACTCCAGAACAGACCAGATCTCGATCGAGTCAAAGGCTTTCTCATAGTCCACGAATGCTAGACACAGGGGCTGAATTATATTCTTCGGTCTTCTGTATAATCTGCCGCACTGTGTGGATGTGGTCTATGGTGCCATATCCGCTCCGAAACCCAGCTTGCTCCAGGTGGTTGGAATTCGTCGAGTCTTTGCGCAAGGACGGTTCGTGATGACTCTCGAAACAGCTTGTAGACGTGGCTTAGAAGGGATATGGGTCGATAGTTCTTCAACCTGGTCTTGTCACCCTTTTTGAAGAACAAGACGACCACACTCCTACTCCCACGCTTCTGGAGTTCTCCCTTCAAACAGGACAGCGTTGAAGAGCTTTTGGAGCTCCCTTAGTACGGGTTTACCCCCGGCCTTCAGCAGCTCTGTTGTAAACGCCATCCTCTCCAGGGGCTTTTTCCATTTTTCAGCTGTCCAAGAGCCATCTCGATTTCGTCAATGCTAACTTCTGGCAGGTCTTCGGTGTAGTGACGTGTTAATGTGGCTCTAGAGTCCTCATTTTCGGGATCAGGTCGAGATGCATGCGAAGCGTATAACCGGCCATAGAAGTTTTCCACTTCCAAAAGGACTGCCGGCTTCGAACGGTCATTGACCATGTAGTAAATTTACACTCAGAAGATAAAAAAAGTACGAAGTAATTATTTTAGGCTTGTCGTTATGGAAGGTACAGTGGATGTCGTAACTCGAGAAGACATTACAGATATCTCTCACCGAAACGCGAATTTATTGCGCTTCAGGACATATGTACTTTACCACCCGCGGAGGTTGATCACATCTGAATGGCATGCAAGTTAGACTAGCTTGGAGCCGACTGATATACCCCGATAAGTGATGCCAGTAAAATTTATTATGAGGTCTTATGGTCTCTGGCCATATTTAGGGCAAAATTTTTGTACTAAATATGGCCAGTTTAATAGCTATACTGACAAAAAATATAATTCTTTCACGTACGTTGCGTTTCTACCCAACAAGAAAACCTTAAAAAGAAAGAAATGTGCTTTAGAATAAAACTCAACTACCTCTAAGACGCAAAGTTATTTAGGTTGCCACTCAGAATCAACGACATGTACGCCATCAAGAAACTAAAAAAAAAGTTTGTTCTATAAAAACTGAATCAATGTCTGTACTGCCACGAGACGTGACTAAAATGTATTATATTTTCGTCGTTTACCCGATGATGTCAAAGAACGAGACGACAAGTTTGTAATTGCTGTGCATTTTCAGTATATTTCATCACTATGGATTTATTTTAGTGTATTTTTAGATTATTGTAATATTTATGTATTTATGTGTAAAAAACAAAATGGGACAGCAATTTGGCATGAACGATGTTCATATTTAAGAAAACCAGTAAGGTGATTGTGTATATCATCGGTTATTATCTAGGTATAGTGTGTGTATGTATATCACCTCTTGTAATCTCTTATGTGAAACATAGTGCTCTCTTAAGACTATTTAGTCAGCAGTAGTCAGATAGAAGCTACGATGCTGCATAGTAAAAAATTACCTGTGATGATCTGAGCGCGGAGACTTGTTTCTGCAATGATATGTTCTCGTCTTCCAAGTCACCGATGTCAACTAGTAGTCTCTGTTCCCGTTGTCTGGCTTCTCGTAACTCCGCTCGTAGTGCTGCTCGTTCCGATTCGCGTGACGCTTTATGAGCGCCGAGTTCTGAGCTCTCGGCTAACAGGCGATCCCGCTCGCTAACCACCCGATCAAGCTCGTGACGTAACTGCCAACAAAAAACAAGAGTTAGAGTCTATTTGCTCGACAACCTTCACCACTAATTATTGTACTTCTAGCTGCGCCCCGTCGTGTTACCCGCGGTTGTTATTGTAACTTGCTTATCCCACGGGAACACTACAGTTTTGGCAAAAGGTAGCCTATGTGCTATTCCAGACTATAATCTATATACTAACTTTTAAACTTTCGCGTTCCATGATAATTAATATTATTTAACGGGAATTAACGCGATCTCTTATTTAGGGTATTACTAAATAAGAGATCGCGTTAATTCCCGTTAAATAATATTAATTATAATCTATATCTCTGCCAAATTTCTTCCAGATCCGTTCAGCCGTTTTTACGTGAAAGAGTAACAAATATCCATACACACTTTTGAATAATGTATTTTCTGCTAACGTGTCCCTAATGTATGTTAAGTAATTTGCTTAACTCAAATAGACTTGATGTGCTATGATGTGAAAATTAACATCATCATCATCAACAGCCTTTAATAGTCCACTGCTGGACATAGGCCTCTCCTTAGAAAAGAGGTTTTGCCTACTATACCACGCTGGCCAGACGGGTTGGTATAGGGTTTGTGTCAAGTTTTTCTTCTTTTTGCAGTGCTGGTGTCCTGCATTGTTTTGCGCCCTTAGTCGGCTCTTACGACACCCACGGGATGAATTGGGGTAGTGACATTCCATATTCTTAATCCGTCACTACACGGACATGTCGTTCATTTACTAACGAATATTTCAAGAACTACTTAAATCCACACGCCTAACTCAAAGGAAGCCTTTCGTATATTGTAGTTCATTATGTTATTATTATTAATCAAATAAAAATTTATGTAACTTAGATTATATTCAAGTACAATGAGAATTTGCTGTATTGTTAGTCTGATACAAATAAACAGAAAAAAGATAAATATGTAGACATACTAATAAGTAATTAAAGAGATATTTAAGATTTAAAAATCTCTATTCGGTTGCTTACTTTCGCTAACTCGGCTTACAATTGTCTTTGGTTATCTTTACAGATCTTAGTTTCTAATCTTATCTCTTAGAGAAACTATACATATACTCTTAGTATATTTAATATTAAAATATGCATTTACAGCTTAATGTGTGTGATTAAGTTTAAAGGTTCTTAGGAGTTTTAATATATAGGTACGTACCTATGGCACAAAATTAACAACTCACGAATAAATCTCCGTTTTAGAGAACATTTTTAATTTTGGAACAGTCTTAATCGCTAAGCTTGGTTTATACACCAGCATAAGACAAAACCTTTTATTACACCAAGAACTTTTTAATTATGAAGGGTGTTTAGCGCAAAGGTTCAAGTCCGTTCTATTAATATAATTTATGGCGGTGTACAGTCAACGGTAGACACAAAACAATAAAATCTTTTTTTATATAAGTACTAACTATATTTAAAATTAACTTAATAATGGCTGCTACTCGGAAGTTTGACAAAAAGTTAATTTATTTCAAGTAAGGTGATTCAACGCCTGACTCCAACATTATAAATTTTTTACACAAGCAAGATGTTAAAAATACAATAAGCTTAATCAATCCAACAAAAAAAAATGAAATTCAAGTGTCGAATTCTGGCAAGCGTGGTATAGTCGGCCAAACCTCCTTCCTAAATAGAGGCCTATGTCCAGCTATTAAAAGCTGTTGATGTAATGTGTGTCGAAGTTTAATGCGTTAACTGCGAAACCAACCATACACACGGTTAGTTACGGGTTTGTACTAAAAGACCAACTAAGAAATCCCGATCTTGTTTTTAAATGTAAGGTTAATAATATCATGTAACATTAAGCCTTTCCCCTCGTTCATTGTAAGTCCGGAGAATAAAATAAAAAAAAAATATGAAAGAATCTCCAAGTTATTAAATTCGTCCAAGATAGACTTCCTGTTCTATCTAAAACAATAAATTGATGGCTATTGCCCGCTGCAGTCAATTCAAATGTCAATAATAGGTAGTATTCCCGCCTCTAGACAATAGCCGTTTCTATCAATATAAATTTATTAACGTTATTTAATAAATTAACAGCACCACTGCGATTCACATAACTTCGCCAAGTTATTTGTTGATGTATGTTTTAATTTCAGTTTAATAATATGTTTAGTTAACATTTGTCAATCTATTGGTGTATACTGCACATGGCTTTGTATACATCTAAGAACTGTTCCATACTGTATATTTTTGACAGGCCTGTTGGTCTAGTGGTTAGTGACCCGGACTGCTAAATAAATAAATAATTATACTACTAATAAATTACTGCCTAGGTTGTGCTGTGGTAGCGATGCGACTACTGTGCTCAGGTCTCAGGTTCGATTCCCCGGGTCGGGCCAAATGTTTGTAGGATCTGCTAATATTTGTTACAGAGTTCGGGTGTTTACTATGTATAATATGTATGTCTTTACAAGAAAAAAGTATATAAGTATTCTATCAGTCACCACTGGTTTCTGTTTACCCTTCAATTACTAGAAGTAAAAGCTGTATACTTTTTAAGAGACAAGAAGGGGTGCGGCCGCAGTGCCTCCATTGAGTATAATAGGATAATAAACCCAGGTAGGTTCCCCAGCTAGACATGAGGTAGATAGTGTGATAAATTTTGTTTGATATGGATTTCGCTACCGTAATAAGGTTCAGAGACAATGTTCATTAAGTTAATCTAAGTCTAGTGATGTAAATATCGTTATTATTTCGGAAAATAAAAGAACACTACGAGTTTTGTTTTGTTTCATAATTAGGCCTTACCTAACTTCGAATTCAATTACTTTTCTTTGTATAAAATAACACACGCATAAGGAAAACTTATGTGACCTCATGCTTATCTATAATAACTAATCACCGTTGTGAGTAACAATAAGCAATCGTACAGTTTCTAACTTATTAAAGATAAATTCATATAAATGAAAAGCTCAAAGATTCCATCAAAATATTCTTTATAATTCTTAGTAGGTTTCGCTTGTCTTCCTAAATTTCTAATATATTATTGTCCTGTTTACATCGTAGAATTTTTGCACTTTTTTGGTATGATACTTAAATAAAATCGAAATGGTCGGCGTGCTGGGTAAAGCTAAGCAGCTAAAAAGATAAATAAAATCGAAATGCCAATGCATGGAGTACCGCTAGTTTTCTTATTAAATCAGTTATAAATAAAAAAGGCGTTAGGAGAAAATGGTATTACAGTAAAAATAGAAATTCATTGAAGACTAAATTCTAAGCTGATCTTGATATTAAATTCATTTCATAGTTGTTTGTTTTCATCTAAAGTTCTATTTTTACACGGTTTTATTAATACTTATTTCAAACTGAATAACTTGATAGCTTTTAGACGGAAAGAGAGAGAAAAGGTATAGTGGTTTTATGAGATTTTCGTTTAAAGCTTTTTAATAACGAAGTTTTACATTTGTGGCCTATCAGTATTAATCGCATAGTATAACATCTCAATTTAAATTACTCTTTATTTTATACTTAAAACAAGCTACTAGTAAACTCGTTTTTACCTGATAAGATTACAAATATGCAATAATTAGCTCAAGCGGAACGAAATCTAGATTTTTTACTAATTAGCAACAGTTAAAATGCACGTGCCTATTACAAGTTACAAGCTTTCTATTCGGTCTTTCAATTGTGCAGTTGTCCTATAATTTTGTTGTCCTAATAAAACAACGTGATTAATGTATTATTTATATATTTAATAAATACTACACGTTAAAGTTAGTGTTCTAGCCGCCATTTTAGTCAAGAACCATGGTCAGGATGTCCTTTGAGTGATCACAAACAACTTTATGATATCGGTCGAGTACTTGAGACACAAAAGTGAAAACATAAAAATTCACACATGCATTTAAAATATAACAGTTAGTGGCCGCTTTAATTATACGTTTTAAAACTATTTTCTTTTATTGTTCATTACTTCCTTCTAGCAGATAAGGTGGTAATCTAAAAGTTAACGAAGCTGTCCGCTAAGATATCTTTGGCTTTGATCAATACAGTCTTTTTGTAGATATCAATTTTTATTAGCACTTGGTACTGTTTCAATAGGCAATTTGATATCTGTGAGCCTTTTTTTTTTTTTTTTTTTTTTTCCGTGCGGAAATCCCCTCGGATACCACCTGTCGGTGGCATGTCGGACTCGAACCGACTAAAACCGCACGCCTTCGCCCGGTACTAATAGCCGGGGAACCAGGTATACCCTAGAAAGGAAGTCCCTGGTGCCCCGAAATATATCTGTGGGCCTGTGATAATTCCTTAACATAAAAAAAAACCTAGACGATTGCAACATAGTAATCTACGTCTGAAACATCCGCAGTTGTGTATCATTTTAACCGTTCACCGGTTTGTATTAAACCGTCTACATCTGTTTTCATTGTATGGAAGTCCCCCCCTGTCCAGTGATCTTCACCAGAGCCGAAGATATAGTGCTATGTCGGACTCGATCCGCCTAATCCATACAGTGTTTCATCGGTCCTACATCCATCCATCGGAGAAGGGGTTTTCGAATCCTTAGGGAAATTCTACACGATACATTTTTCATTTCGAATGTTGGTTGACGATTTTCTAAAATTTGCTTAATTTCTCGCTACAAGTTACACTCTCGCAATAATTATATTTGTATCAGTGCTGTCTTAATTACCCTTGACATTCAAATTTACTAGCGAGTTTATATAATAAATGCTATTCTAGTTTAACCGCGCCTTTCTCGGGTGATTATTATAAATTGCTTCTTACGTTTGTTTATTTAATTTGCTTCGATTTTTACGTGGAGCAATTGCCATCAGACCTCCACAACCCAAGTACTTACTAAGCGATAAGGAAGTTGTGTAGAAATACTGTTGTTAGAGTTTTTAGGGCTCCGACTACCCTAAACGAAAAGGGATATTAAAGAAAAAAACGTAACTTGTCATTTGCGAGCTCGTAATATCTAGAGTACCTACTATTATTATCTGGAATCTGCAGAAGAAATACTTCTGCAGATTCCAGATA